TCCACTTCCACGATTATTTTCATCCCCATCTTTTGACTAAAAAAAATTTTTTTTAATATTTAGTTTAAAAATAAATTAAAAGGGCTTTTTTGGGGATTTTTAAACAAAAATTTTTTCCGGAAATATTAAGAATATTGTAGCAAAAAAAAAAACTACCGAAAAAAAGGAAAAATTTTTTTAAATCCAACAATTCCTCAAGTATTTAAAATTTCTTTTTAATAAGTGTTTAAGTAAATAATGAGCAAGTTTTCACTTGGAACAATTTTTAAGAAAAAAAAATAAAAAAATTTCATTATTAACCAAAAACAAATGAAATAATTGCGCAATATTTTTTGAGTGTGTAAAATGTATAAGTTTATTTATTTTAACAAAAATAAAAATCAAAAAAAAATTCTAGATTCAGAAAAAAAATTTTTAATTAGTAAAATACACTACACAACTCTTTCCCAAAAAATTAAATGGAATTTTGAAACTTGCGGACCGCAACGGAAAAAGAAGGCTCTGGGTACCACAAAAACGTTTTATTTATTTTGTTACTATGCATAAAAAATTTCTCAAAAGTCCACAAGTTTCGTTCAATAAATTTTGCATTTCAAAAAAAAAGAAAATAAAAAATCATTCATATTTCCTCTCAATGATGATGCATCATTTTATATTATATAATTTAATATGAGCACGTGTGTATATCAAAGCATGGATGAGGGACTTATTTAGATAAAGTCCTAGGAGAGGAGGGAAATTAAAAAAAATTTTTTAGAAAATTGTTCAAAGTGAATGTTTGCTATTTGGTAAAAGTAAACGAGTCATTTTAGGTTCACAAAATGTCACAAAACCCCCTCTTTACCAACTAAATTTTCAAAAAAAATAAAAAAAACCAACCGAAACGACCAGCAAAACAGCCGAAGGAGTAAGACCTAACTCCTTAAAAAATTTTGAAAATAAAAAAACTTCGATTAAAAAATACCAATAACGATTTATTCATATCAGTCAACTTCTTACGAGGATAAGTTTGCATCAGAAAAAAACTTGTAGGCTTGCGAGCATCCTAAAAATAAATTATTTAGCATTTATTAAACGAGAGATTTTATAAAGTAATTTTCAGTCATCCAAGGAAAACAAAAAAGAATAATAAAAATCATTCGTTTAATCAAAAACAGCAACTTATGAACAAAATTTTAATACAATAATTCACAAGATATGCAGGAGAAATGGGTCGGGTTACTCGAAAACCGATATCCAAACTTTTTCAACTTGAAAAGACCCCAGACCCAACACCTTATCCAACTTTACTTAATCCAACTCAGTAACATAGAAGTATTAAAGTCATTCAAAACCCCGTTCCAGGTTCAAAATACATCAACCAAAAACTATTTTTTACACCCCAAAAAATACTTTGACTTTCTAGAGATTTGTTTTCTTAAAATTTAATCAAAACCTCATTAACAGCATCATAAACAACTTGAAGAGGTTCCTTAGACGGGAAGACTTTAATTAAAGTTTGGCCATCAGGAAAACGGCATTGAATGCGGCATTCATCACTAAAAAATATTTTTAAAGAATTATTTTTTAAAAAATTAAAAAACCTATTAACAGGTTTATTCATTTCCACAGCCTCCACTTTTTTTTCTGCCTTTTTAACATTTCCTTCTTCTCCTCCAGCAGTTCCATTTTTTGAAGCAGCCGCAGCAGCACGTTCTTCTTTATCCAATTTAATTTGATCTCTTAATCGTTGCAATGCTTGAGCATCTTCCGCTTTTTGACGACGACGCTCTTCTGCTGCTTCTTTCAATTCTCTTTCCCTTTGTTTTTCACGAAGTTCAGCCATAGCTTTACCTTTAATTTTTTGAAATTTTCTAATAATAAAAAAGAAAAAAAACCATCCATTCGACGTTCCATTTCTTTTTTATGCTTCTCCTCCTCTTCTTTTTTAGCATCCGATTTTTTCTTCTCTTCAAGCAATTTGCGATAACTAAAAATGTTTTTAAATTAATAACACTTGCAGAAAGCTGGGTTGGCCCCGGAAAACTCATAACAAAGTCATGACAGTTAATTTTCACCAAACTATTGAAATGACAGATCCCCAAGGGAAAAATAGATTTAATTAATTTAATCAACTCGGGAGGCTTATCGTAAAAACTGCTGTTATGCAGTCATTAAAGCGAAAATCTGGTTGAGTCTTAACTGGCTAGATTAAGATTAGGGTTGTTGTCGACCCGTCATATTTTCCCTGGCAGTTCAAAAATTCCTAGTCCTCTATTCGACTAGACAAAGGGAAAAATCCACAGGGCGCCAACAATGAATCATCAACGCCTATTGTTAGTTTAATGGAAACATTCCCCAAGATCCCATGATAAAACATAAAAAATTACTATTCCAATTTCTCCTGACTAGTTGTCGTATCAGCAGAAGCTCCTGCATCTCGAGGAGCAGCCTCCCCTTCAACAACGGTTTCTTCTTCCTTTTTATCCTCAATTCGGTCCTCTACTTTGTCTTTAGAAATGTCAACATTTTTCTTCATTTCACCAATTTGTTCTTTAAATAACTAAAATAAAAATGTTGGAACAAATCCAAGAAGTTAATAAAATATACCAAAACAGCCTTCTTAAATTCACCCAACAATTTGTCTGAAGTAACGCCCGACAATCCTGTAATTACCTAAAAAGAAAACTTTTACAAGGGAATTTTCGTGTCAAGTTTTGGCCGTTCCGTGTTTTTAAATCCGTCATTTTGCCTCCCACCCGGAATTTGAATCTAGTGCTTCGCTTTCAATTTTCTCTCCAATTCACCCCGAAATCAATCTTTTTTGAGTTCATAGGTGTTAAACACAGGCCTGTAGCCAGGGGGTAGGGGGAATTTTTTCCAAGGTAAATCATTGCCCCCCCCCCCCCCCGAAAAAAAATATTGGTTACGGGCCTGGTTTAAAACATATAAAAAATTTTGAAGAAATATGATACACAAATTTCAGAGTCCCCTTTTCAGAAAACCAAATCTTTAAAAAAAACCTCCAAAGGTTGAGCATTCATCCCCAAAATATAACAAACTGGAACAGTAAGCGTCGGAAAAAATTGTGCAAATTGTTTAGCATTTTCAGATTCCTTAACCATACGAATAGCAACATAAGGAATACTTTCAAAAACAGAAATGTCCAACGAGTTTAAAAGGTCATCAAGTTTTGAGGAGTTGTCATCTAAAATTTTTAACAAGAAATTAAAAATTAGGGAAACTCTTGGGTTTGTATCACTCCCCAATTTTATGTATCTTCTCCTTTCTTTTTGATTTCTTCAAAAAAGGTAAGTACACGTGTGTCAAAGTTAATCTACGTTAATCTAGCATGTTTTGAGATTAGACCCTATGCCAACGTTGGAGTGTTTACCAGTACTTCTATTCACCAAGGGCGTATCTAGGGGGTCGGTTTCAGGAGGGGGCTAACATAGAAATAGAGCCACACCCATCCATAGTTAAACAAAGGGATTCCACGAGTTAATAAAAACGTAGGGTCGTCAATACTTTCTTCGGATAGGGCTTCGGTCGAAGAAAGTCTAGGTTCCATGTAACCTGACCAGTTCCTAGTACAATACCGGGCCGTGGTTCCAAAGGACAACGCTGCGTTTTGGAACCATGGTCCGGAACCAGGTATGCCATTTAGATCCACGTGACTTTTTGTGAAAATTAAAAATGATAATGGCCGGGAGACAACCCCAAGAACACCAAATTAAAAAAGAAAACCATTTTCTGCATAAACATAAACAATCAAAATTCCTTTCTTCTGTTGATATTCAGTCAAAGCATCGTCAACTGCTCCATTGAACCATTCCATTTTTGTGAATAAATAAATAAAATATATTTAGAAAGCTAAAAAACAAAATTAAGAAATTTTGGGTAAACCAAAGTTTTAGGGTTCCCATCTTTCTTCCTCAAATATTTTAATCCCTCAACTCACTTAACGAAGCTTCTGACTCTAGGAAAGAAAATAAGTTAATGTCTCACATTGAATATCGGAAATAGAATGAAATTGAGGAAGGAAGTCTGACCATTTCTTACATATAAAGGAAAATACTTGAAATAGAAAAACGAGGGACCTAAAGCTCGGTTTACCCAGAAATTTTGAAGAGACAAACAAAGATTTGATTTAAACCAAAAAAACATTTTTTAATAAGCACGTAATAAGCTAATTAGATCTTAAACGCTAAATCAACGTTTTTCAAAAGATCATCATTTTATTAAAAAAATTTTAGTTAGGGACGTTAGAGTCTCAAAAGTTAACATAAGCCGGGATAAGGACGTTTCAGTATCGCCGCTTCAGTATAAAAGCCATATTTTGGGGCATAACTCGAGTAATTTTCACATCATTCGAAAGGTTTCGAGCTGCGGCATTTTTTAGAGCTTTCGATTGATATAATAACCATTCAAATATTTTGAGAATCAAAAAAAAGTCATAGTCCAAAATATGCCCCAGATACTGAATCGTCCCCCACAGCCTGGGACATTTGAGTACCAGACTATCTCGCACTGAACTTAAAAAATCGTCTTGTCCCAGGCCTTATTACCTAAATTGTTGTTTCTACCCAAACTGTAAAAAATAAGCGGATCAGAGATGGGCGGGTTGAGAAAAAAGTCAAGTCGAGTTGGGCTTCAGTACTGAACTTTAAAAAATCCTCGGTCTCGAGCTGCAGCAACTTTTTTAAAGCCGACTTCAGATAGGATTTTCAAAATTCTCTTCTAGTCGGGATTTCAGGTCGAAAAAACCCCCGCAACTTCCGACCCAACCCTAATACAGATTAAAAAAATACAGAAAAACCAAAACAAAAAAAATAACGAGCAGAAAACTCTTTTAAAAAATATATTTTCAAAACCAATTTTTTAAACTTTATATGTATTTGGGGGTTGTTATTAAAAGAAAAAAATATAATATTCGTATTATATTAAAAAAACAAAACAACAAAAATAATAAAACTATACTTTTTTTATTATTAATTTTTATTTACTTCTCCTAATCATCCCTAGCCAATGTTTGGCACATTTCCTTCATTAATTCCTAATTTAATTTCCAACGCTTTTGTCAAATCAACCAATAAATTTGAAGTTTTCTTTATTTTGGAAGCTTCAGATTGTTCAACTTTAAATAAGAAAAAAATTTTTTTAAAGAGATTAAAAAAAAACAAACATTTCTCCTTATATTTAGCAAACAATTCATTCAATAATTGTTTATTTGTTGGATCCAAATTGAAAATTTTGTACAAACATTTGAGCATAATTAACAGCTTTAAAATAGGTTTTTATTTAACAAATTTCCCTTTTTTCAAAATTTTTCTTGAGGCATGAAACAGTCCAGCATTGACTTGCCATGGCTTGGCCCAAAGTCATTTTGAAACAAAACGGCTAGTAAATGGTATCCTTGTCAAAATGACTTTGGGCCAAGTTATGGCAAGTTAAAACTGGACTGTTAATTCGCGGTGACAGTAAACGACGGTCCCCTGTGAGGACAAAAATTTCCGGCTCACATACTAAGGTTGTCGGATCCGAATCCGAAAAGGCCGGAAAAAAATACCGGATCCGGATATCCGAAGATTTCCAACTATCCGACAACCTTATCCCATACTAGTCTCCTTTCGTTCCACTTATCCCCCTCATTTTTTAAACAATTTCTACAGTTATGTTTTAGTCATTTTTATTCATTTTAAAAATCAATTTTACACAAATTTTCCCTTTAAAAAGAATAAAAAACCTTATCCTTGTAGCTATATACCCGAAAAGCAATAACCCAAAAATCAACATCTTCACAAGGCATTTGAAGTATTGGCTTAATAAATTTGCAAGCTTCTTCAATAGGATTTTCAGGTTTAAGCAACTTTTGTGTATCAAAAGGTTCTGGATCGAAAACATCAAATTCCCCATCCATTCTTTGCTTGGACTGAAAATTTTTTTTTCAAATTTTGAAAAATTAAAAAAAAATTTTTTAGTGAAATTTTTTAATTTTCAAAATTCCTCAAAAAATTTCAAAATTTCTCAAAAATTTTTTTTCAAAAAAAAACCGTTGATTGTTTAGCAGCTTGTTCAGCATTTTGTTTATCCTTCTCAGCTTTAGCTTTATTTGCCTTTCGTTTAAGTTTTCTAAGTTCAGCAGGAGTTAAAGCAGAATTATCTTGCGTCTGTTTTTCAACAAATTTTTGAGGATTTTCAACCATATCAATATATATCTGTTAAAAATAAAAATATTTTTTTCTATTAAAAAATTAAAAAAAAATACCGAAACAGCCAATTTTGTTGCTTTAACATAAAACTGTTGAGAATTTAAAACATCTTCAAAACGAAGAAATTTTATATATGTTGAAAGCGTCATTTTACGAAGACAATCTAAAATTAAATTATTTGATAAAATTAATTTTTAATAAAAAAATATTTTTCTTACATCCATGAAAGTCATACTGATCCTCATAAAAGTTAACAAAATGCTAGAAAAATATATATTTTAGAATTAATTTAAATTAAAGTCAAAACCTGTTCAATTTGATGACATTTTTGGAGAGATTCACCATATTTAGCTAAACGAAAATATGCCAAAGCGGCTTCATATTCATACCAAAGACATCTAAAAAGAAAATAAAAATTAAAACCCTCTCTCTCAGGATTCTCTTCTATGTTCCAAATTAAGCAGGTTCGGTTTTTAGAAATTCCAAATGGGCAGGGGCAAACCTTACAAATAGGGACTCACAAAATATGTACGGAAAATCTCAATTTTTGGGCCTCACTCATCAAAGTATATCCGCATACCAAACATCCCTTTGCATGTTTTGTCTGTCCCTACTTACATAAAAAAAGCCTCCACTTCCCCAAGTTTCTCCTCTTTTAAAAATTTTTGGATAGCCGGAACCGAGCCGAAAAATCATCGGTTTCTCAGTTCGTTTCCAAACCGACAACTCTTCAAGTTTTTACAGACTTTTGGGAACACAAAAAATTCTAATGCTTACTGCATTTCAATCATACTATCATTTGCACTCATTCCCTCACGAGTAAATTTTGAACACATTTCTTCAGCTTCTTTTATACGACAATCTCTCAACAAATATTTGGCACATTTACTATTTAAATAACGATCTGCAGTATCCAATTCTTGTGCAGATAACATTAAATCGGCTGCTGCCGTATAGTCACCGGAATGCTTAAAAATAAAAAAAAACTTTTCAAAACCCCTCCAAAAATTTTTTAAAAAAACCTTAAAAATTTTAGCTTTAGCCATATATAATTCAATTAATGTTGGAGTATGTTTTAAAGCTTCATCAATATATTTGAGCGCTCTTTGGTAATTTTTTAATCTATCAAAATGTTGAGCCAAATAGTAATAAGTCCACAAAACGGTTGTTGGACATTCAGGAAGATTTGAGCCTTTTAAATTTATAAAAATGTGATTTTCTGACTACTATAAGAATTATAAAGGTATTTGCCGAGTTTAGGTCCGTCAAATTTTTTTGTTTTAAGAAAAATAGGAAATTAATTTCAATTGACCATTTTGAGTCTTTTCATGCTTTCACATAAGTGAAAATGAGTTCAACAAAGAATTAATATTAATTGACTATCTTGAGTCTTTTTTGGGTTTATTGTTAGTAAAATGGGTTAAATGAAAAAATTCTATTAAATGACCTCTATGAGGCATGACTATTTTTAACCGAAAAGTAAAAAGATTGACAGACCAAAACCGGTAAGACCATTATAATTAACAAAATTTAAATTCGAAAATTCTTTAAAAAATTACCATCCAAAGAGAATCGATTATACCCGTTTTCTTCAAATTTGTAAACAAAATCCAAAAGAATTCTTTCGATAGTTTTTACCTAAAATAATTTTAAAAAGTTAAGCATTTAAAAAAATATTAGAAATAACCTTTTGTTGATTATCATAAAGCGTCAAAAGATTTTTAAAAAGCGAAGGAATTCCTTTACGAAAACAAGTAATTAAATAAGTACGAACTTTCTCCTCAAAAATTGGACCTATAAATGAAAAAAATTTTTGAAATAAAAATTTAAGCAAACCATCAACATATACCAAATAAATTAATTTTGGAAGAGAAGCTTTAGGTCTTTGAAGAATTATTGTATCATATAAAGTAATGAGGTCTTGGTTATTTTGTTGGGTATTATCTGTAAATATTAAAGGTAAAAGAAATTTTTTTGAAATATTTTTAAAAAGAAACAAAGGAATCTTAAGAAAAAATTGTCAGTCTACCACAGAAACGTAAAAATGTCATCTAAAGTCAATTTTGGTAACACTCACCATAGCTAGATGAGTATGGTGAATTATTCCAAAACTGTCTATATCCACCATGAATAAAATCATCAGTTCATTCTATACGCCTTGCGGCAGACTGTGACAGATCAATGTGTTCGAGGGGTCTATCGACTCAAGTCCCAAAATAAGGAATTTATTTCTATACCGGACAATCGAAAAAAAAAATTGACGGGAACACATAGAAACAAAAGTAAACCCCAAAAAACTAAAAATTACCCAATTTCCGACATTTCTCAATTTGTTTATAATAAAAAATATTATCAGGATTCCTATCAATTAATGTCCAATAAACTCTTTCAGCATCCTCAAAACGTTCCAAATTTATTAGTAAAGACGCTAAAATTAAAAAAAACTTTTTTAAATTTAATTTCCTTAAAAAACCTCTAATTTCAAAATAAGCAAGGCGATCCAATATAGAAGTAGAATTTTCTTCTAAACGCGCCAATGCTTCGCCAAAACGTCCAGCTTCTGTAAGTATCATAATTTCATAGAGAATAATCTCGCTGCTTTCAATATCGATTTTTGCAGGAGCCTGAAATTCAAGAAAATTTGAAACCTTGTAAATCATGTCCAAAGAAGAGATCGAGATTTTTGAAAAAGTTCGATCGCGGGAAAAAGTTCGAAAGTTATTTCGAATCCACTGACATATCCTTATCAGGAAAAAGTACAGGAGACCCAAAACGTCGAAGTTTAAAAGATGCCTGATTCAGAAACCCCATGAAGCTCAAGAATTGACTATGTCTGAATAAGCATATGACCGGACGTATTCAAAATAACAAAATTTCCTTTAAATTACCCTATTATTCTTCTTGAATTCGCCAAGAATATATAAAGCAACATCATATTCCTTCAATAAATGATAAGCAGAAGCGTAACCAATCCAACTCATTTTTGATGGTTTTAGAACGAGTAATTGATAACGAGAATCCTTTAAAAAATTAAAAAAAAATTCTAAACAAAAAAAACAAACCCGATAACCTTCCAAATCACGCAATTGAATTTGTAAAAGTGACAAATCTCTAAGAATTTGCACATTTTCCTTTTCAATTCGAAGAGCCATTTTATAAGCTTTGATAGCCTCATCGTAGCGTTTATCGGAACGTTGAACTGAAAAGTATAGCTGGTATAAAAAATCAAGTAAATTCAAGTTAAGCTGACAAGGGAGACTATTGAATTGTAAATATTAATTTTATAATTTTTTGGTATCATTTGACAGAGCAGCTGATAACTTAACGTCAATTTTTGGCTTTTTTGGTTACGAAGCCAAAAATCGACTAGATGCGAGGTCTTAAAGTTGGTTGGATTCTAATCGCTCTGAGCGAACTTAAAAAACTCCAAATAGCACAAGAAATGACTAAATATCCCTGGCTACCCAAAACTAATTTTAAGCCATCTCCAGGAATTTTTTCTACATTGAAAAATAACAAACCTAGACCAAAAACATGCCAACAAACATGCGATTTCAAATCAGCAGCCAATCCTTTCTTAACAATTTCCAACGCTTCCTCGTGCTTTCCCATACAATTCAAAATTAAGCCTTTCATAGCAAGCGTTTCTATAAATTTAGAAAGGATTCTTTCAAGAAATTTAAAAAAGAAAAACCTCCGTGCTCACAAAAATTAGGATTAGAAAGTATTTGTTTTGCACATCTCAGCCCAACTTTGTATTGCTTTTGTTCATAACATTTCTAAAAAAAGAGAACATTAAAAAATATAAAAATAAAAAAACCAAAATCTTCCGAAAGAGTGCCAATTCCTTTGAAGGCAAAACTTGACTTCCACTGCTGATGAACGCGTTTGTCATTGTTTTTAATCGTTAGATTATGTTAAAAATAAAAGGATTTTAAGGTAAGGACTGCCAAAAAATAAGGTAAGAGATAGACAAGATTAACAGCTAAAAAATAAAAATTAATAATAAAACTCATCCGCGTCTTCATCGTTTAAATAAAGGCTCGCTTACATAAGAATCGTACGGATTTTGAGACAAAAAAATGATAGGAATTGTCCGTTTTTGGTGAAAAAAGTAAAGTCAAAAAATGGAAAGAGAGAAATTTGGAAATAACTTGAAAACGGGAAATCTAGGAAAATCTAACTGAGAAAATCCGTACGAACATAAAATTTATGAAAAACAAATCTTCAAAAGATATCTAATGATAAATTTAATACAATCAATAAAAATCAAACTTTAAGGAAAAAATTTATTTTATGAAAAATTTTCGAATTTCATCAAAATACCCGTAAAAAATAAATTAAATAAAAAAATACCCGTAAAAAAGCAAATTAAATAAGACAAAATTTATATTGGAAATTAACGTTCAGTCAGAATATCACGCTCTTCACTAATTTTCGTCATCTCCTTCTCAATAAACCTCAGACCAACTGGCAAGCATTGCAAAACCATATCCTCTTGCTGCTTCAACGGCATCTCAAAAAGACGTTGAACCTTCACATGCACCTCTAAAGTTTATCAATTTGAAAAAGATTAAAAAATTAAATTTCTTACTTTTTCCAATCTCAAGAACTTTCCATTGCTTTTCAAAGTGTTCACGAATTAGAGCAGCATCCCCGGTAATTTTGAACGTGACAGACCCCCTTTTTTCCTCCCCATTTTTCACCCTATATTTTTTAAAAATGGACACATTTATGGCAGGTTCTTTTTCCATGGAGAAGTCCAAGCTCTTCGAGCCATGCATCGAAATCATTATCGCTCAAACGTAATTCCTCCTTTTTATAATCCTTTTTGTTTGATTGCAGGCAAAAATTAGAAAGGCAAATTGGATGGAAGAAAGGAAAAAGTCTGACCATTTTTAAAAAATATAGGGTGAAAAATGGGGAGGAAAAAAGGGGGTCTGTCACGTTCAAAATTACCGCATCCCCATTCAAAAGTCTTACAGAAGCAAACTTAAAAGTCTAAATAAATTACACTACAATGATTCTTGAAACATTAAAAATCTAATCGACAAAAATCATTTATATCAGGCTAAATTAACCCTTCAAAACCCCGTCCCAAAATTTTTTCAAACAAATTCAAGAGAATTTAAAAAATATTTAATAACTAACCATTTTAGGAAAGCAAAGTTGTTTAACACCAAAAGCAAACAGCATTTTTAAAAAATATTTAAAGTCAACTTTTTCGAAATCAACAAAAAAAAACTGAAAATTAAAAAAAATTTTTAAGAGTTTAGCTAACCCTAATTTCCAAAAAAGTGAAGAATAATCTATCTTTGTTTGGCTGTACTCAAATGTCCCCAATCAATAAAAACAGAATGCCAATAAAAATTTTTCGAAGCGAAAATATTTCAATTTGTCAATTAACAAAATGTACAAAGTAACTTTTAAAAAATCTTAAACATTGATCAGTCTACCCAATTTATTGATTGACTTTGTATACTTTGTGACTATTTGTGACAATAAATTTAAACACTATCGTGTGTCAATTTTTTTCTTTTACAGAAAGAATGAAATGATTTTAAGCATTAATAGTAATGAAAATATGGCAGTTGAACAAAATTTGGAAAATTTGCAAGGTAAAAAATTGTTTTTTTGTTTATTTTTATTTTAGGTAAATCGTTTTAAGTCGAATTTACGGTATAAAATTTGATATGAGCTCACAGAGACCAATGAAGATCACGTGAATTTCACGTGATCTTCAAAAAATATGATTCTTGATCTCAGTTGTCTGAACCGAACTCAGACCTGTTTTTTAGGTTTTTGGTACATATTAAGAAATTAATTAAGGATAGTCGACTATATTCCTGGCGTTGAGTCAAAAAATGAATTTTAAAGGTTCCCTCGACTTTCTATAGGAAATCATAGTCTAAATTATAAGGGCTCGTTTCTGGACCTAATTGCCATCAAATGTTTGATTTCTTTAAATGTCATTCACTTTCTCTAAAAATTTAATCTAAATTTAAAATTTTTTTTATTTTTTTAGGAGAGAAGACGCCATTCGATTTATTGTATAGCACCGAATCTGGCTTTTATAAAGCTTACGAGCTACATGAGGTTTTTTTTTGCACTTAAATTGGGTTTGAAACTTAAAATCCCATTATCAAAAAAATTTTTGGAGTTTCGACTTTCGGGGTTAGACTGGAAAATATTTTCGATTTTACATGACTTTTAGTTTTGAAGCATCTGATGTTCAATTTTTCAAAAAGCGTTTAATCATTCTTTAATTTTTTCAGATAATCGGGCAAGGCATAGCTTCAGTTGTACGCAAATGTTTGGAGAATGGTAATTTTGTTGATAATATAAATTCAAAAAATTATTTTAAAGAGACTAAACATCCTTATGCTGTCAAAATTGTTGATGTAACTACTGAACGACAATCTGAGAAGGAAGCAAAGTTGGCACTGGAAGAAGCATTTTCTGAAGTTAAACTGTTGAAAAAACTTTCTGGACATCCTTCGATAGGTTTGGAAATTTTTCTTAAAAAATCTTTCCTCAAAATTTTCCCCATTTTTGTCGTGTTTTAATTCTTTAAAAGATTAATTTACATTTGCGTTACTCAACATTTCTTGGGTTCGGGAACATATACTAATGAAGTTACAGTAAATTAATTTTTGCTTAATGTCAAAAAGGGTACAGCCCGTTTAGGCGCGACCGGTTAGGCGCCGGCCGGTTAGGCGCCAAGCTTTTATTTAAATATTCGATTATAATCAATTAGAATGGTCCCATCAACCATCAAATGGGTCAATTCTGAATTATAAAACAAAAATTTTACAAAAAAATTTTCTAAAATTAAAAAACCGGCCTAACTAGTTTACGTACCAGACTCAAAATCAGCTCGATTGGGTGATTATGAACAAAGTTATGACCAACGGAATCTTCGCTGGAAAAACTGTTTTTGTGCTGCTACGGAGGGTAGGCCGGGCATGGTCTTCGCTACACGATGGCCGTGCTTCGCTGCGGTCGTGCTCGCTTCGCTCGCGGCGACCGTAGCGAAGCGGCGGCCGTCGTTCCGCTCGACATGCCCGGCTTCCTCCGCAGCGGCAAAAACTTTTTTCCGCGGAGGCCTTATGTGAGGGGTGCATCTGTCCGGGATTATCAGGATTATCATTCGTTCCGGGATTATCATTCGTTCAATATTTAATTAAAAGGCTTGGCGCCTAACCTGCCGCGCGCCTAACCGGCCGTCGCCTAACCGGCCCGCGCCTAAACGGGCGTGTCCCTGTCAAAAATGTTAGGGTATTTTGGAGAAGAAAGGAGTTCGAAAATGTAGATGAAAATTTCCCCTAATTTATTCATTTTATGAAATCTCTTGTCAAGTCTTTCATTTTTTCCTCTCCTTCAATTTATATTTAGTTATTTTTAAAATTTCCAATTTTTCAGTAAAACTTCACGACTTTTACCCAACGCCAACTTTTTTATTTATAATCTTTGAATTTGCAAGTGAAGAATTATTTGATAAATTAAATCGTGCAGTTAAATTTGGTGAAAAGAAAACTCGTCATATAATGCAACAATTGTAAGGGGATTTTCTTTTTGAAAATTTTTTCAGAAATTTTTTTGAAAAAATTTTAGGAGGACTTAAAAGCTTAGGGGGACTTAAAATTTTAATGTCAAAAAAATTTTTTTCAAAAATTTTTCAGAAAAAAATTTCCACGAAAAATTTTATAAAAAAAATTTCTTTTTCAGGTTCGAAGGCATTTGCTTTATTCACGAAAAAATGATTGTTCATCGTGACTTGAAATTAGAAAATATTTTGGTTATTAATGGCGACCGTGTGGTTATTAGTGATTTTGGTTTTGCAAAGCAATTAAAAGAAGGGCAATTATTAAAAGGTTTTTTATTAAAAAAAATTTTTAAGTTAGGGTATTTTCAATGTTGTTTTTTAAAAAGGGGTTAAGACAATGCCTATCTGCAAAATTTTTTAGGGACATAATAAGATAAAAATAGATTTTTGATCATTTTTCCCTATCATTTTTGCTTATTTAAAGGGAGGAGAGAGTATATGGAACAGGGAAAAGAGTTGAAAAAAGTGCTTTTTCGGTTTTTCAAACTTTTCTTCTGATCGGGTTTCTGGTTGAAAAAAGTTTCTTGTCGAGTTTTTGATAATACAACCCATCCCTGTGAGGTAGAAGTACTTGTAAAAAAATTTTTTGTTATTTTATTGGTTTATTCACAAAAAAAAATGTTCATTGACTAAAAATTTTTTCAAAATTTTAGATCTTGTTGGCACGCCAGGCTATTTGGCACCAGAAACTTTACGTTGTCAAATGAATGAAGATGCTAAAGGTTTTTTTCTTATTTTCTCTTGAATTAAAAAAAATTTTCTTTTTTTAATAAGGTTATTCGTTAGAAGTGGATAATTGGGCATTAGGTGTAATAATGTATACAATGTTATCTGGACATGCACCTTTCTATCATAGACAACAACTTCGAATGATGAGAATGATACAAGAAGGAAAATACGAATTTAAGAAGGAATCGTGGGAACATATTTCTGATGGAGCTAAGGATCTCGTAAGAAAATTTTTTGATTAGGAAAAATATTTTTCCAACGTTTCCACGTTTGAAAACTTGATAATTTGAGGTCGTGGGTTCGATACCGCTTGTGGAAATTAATTTTTTATTTAATTCGTTATGATGGTAGGACTAGATAATTTCGGGCATTTTTAGATATTGGGGAGTTTTTGAATTTTTAAAGACAAGAAACCTTATTTTGAAGCTATTTTTAAGCAAAAAATACACGGAAATTAGGGGTCGTGGGTTCGATGCCGCTCGGGAAACCATAATTTTGGAAACGAAATTTTTTCAATTTTCCCCAAAATTTTTTTAATTTGTCTTTCTTTTCAAGATTCAACGCCTTTTAACTGTCCCAGTTTCAAAAAGAATACTCAGCTCTGAAAGTTTAAAACATCCATGGATGTTATCTACAGCAGATGGTGAAAATCCTTCAACAATTAGTAAATGGGATCCAAGAAGAATATTTAGAATTGCTCAACATTCTATTAGGTTTTTTTAATAAAAAAATTTAATTCAAAATTTTTTTCTTTAAAGATTTTTGGTCAGAATGACAAATTCTAAATCAACAACAAAATTGGATGAAGGAGGTTTAAATAAATTCTTTTTATTATTTTTAAAATTTTTTTTTTCAGAAGAGACGCGTCCACGTCCATATAGAAGCAGAAGTGAGTTGTCGGGAAATTTTTTTATTTTAAAATTATTGAGCCCAACAAAAATTAAAAATGGATATTTTTATTAACTAAAAAATATTTGGACCCGAAAAGGTTCGAACCCTCCACCCTCTAAAAACTTAAAATATCTCCACTTAACCAAAAGATCACAATCTAGAAAATTTTAACCATGACCAACAATTTAACAATGGATTTCTTGTCAAAAAAGTGTTTTATCCAAGAAAAGGTTCGAACCTTCACCCCCTTATTAATAAGAAAAACCCACTTAACCACCAAGTCATTTTTTCGAAAAGAAAATTTTTAAGCCTTTTTTCAATTTTAAACAAGTCTCAGGTTTAAACATAGGCTTTTTCCATACGAGAGAGATGCTTTTTGCAAATAAACAAAAATCTAAAATGCACCGCCGCCCTGGCTCTTTGGAGAAAAGTTCAGCAAAAAGGAAGAAATCCTGTCTAGAAGGAATGATTGTAGATGAATATACACAACAAAGTCAGTCAAATGAAGATCATTAAGAAGCTTAATTTACGTAATGCATTTTCTTTTTTCTTTAATTATTTATAGAAGATAACGGTCCCAAAAATAATTTTGGAGCCGAAAGGATTCGAACCTTCACCCTTAAAAATATCAAAAATCTCCACTTAACCAAAAAGTCAAATATTTTTCTTATGGTCTTGAAATTACTCAAAATAACTAAAATTTCATTTTTATTTTAAAAAACAATTTTTTGGGACCGTTTTCTGATTTTTGTAGGGTTGAAAAAGACTGGTTTTTATAGTTAGTATACCAATTAATATGTAAAATTAGCCTATTAGAGAAATTAATTTAAAGAAACCCCCAAAAAAATTTTCTTTTTAATATTTAGACACTCCAAACAATTTTTTTAAATGCAAAAATTAATTGGTAAACTTTTGCAACAACTTAATTTTATATATTATTTTTAAGAAAATAATCCTCTCCTGTTTTTTATTGTATAGATCTTGGATCTTATTGGTTATTATTATATTGATGTCTTAAACACTCGAAAAAATACATTTTAGCTTTTTTATTTTGAATAAAAATTTAAAAGAAAATATAAAAAATTTTAGACTAGAGAGATATGTTTAAGAAAATAAAATTTGATATTAAAAATAAAAATAGCTGTGAGATTTTTTAAAAAATAATGTGGAATGTTTGGGGGGATTTTTAGAGACCTGAACAAAAAATTTTTTTTGTCTTTTTTGAGGGGGAAAAAGGTCGAACAACTTTTTCATGATCCTGAAATTAGTTTCATCAGAAAAGAGGGGTGTGACCGTCTATCTCAGAAATTAATGAAAAATTAGAATTTTAAAGTTCAAGCTCTAATAAGCTTCTAAAAATGATTTAAAAATAAATTTTGGAGGGAAAATAAAAAATTTAAAATTTTAGAGAAAAAAAGCTAGACAATCTACAATAAAATAAAAATCTAATAAGCATCTAAATTTAAAAAATAACCAGCAAAAGCACCTTTTGCTTTTTAACTAAACTTTCAAAAATCAAAATAAAAAGATATGTTTCCATTCCTCTCCAAAAAAACCTGCATTTTAAGTAGTTTCATTAGATTTGTTGAGATCTCGTATAATTTCTTGGAATGATCTTAATTTTTCACGGGATATGATTAAAAGTTCTTGGACATTGTGTTTCTCAGCCATCTCATTGAAAAATCTTGAAAAATAAATTATGTAAATTTATAAAGAAAATTAAAAAATTAATTCTAGTTGAAAAATTAGAAAAATAAAAACCATTAATGAGATTCGAACCCACGACCCGTCTCCCACTAAAACCAAATGTAAATGAAAATTTAAATTAAAATAGCCAAAATACCAAAGAAATCACTTAACGGGACTCGAACCCAAAATTCTCTCCCAGTAAAAATAACATCAGACCCACTACACCACGAATGACACAATGAAAACTAAAACACACCAAACTAGTAAAAATAAAAAACACCCATTGGATTTGAAGCCATGACGAATAACTTTTTAATTAAAAATGACCCTTACACCTATGTATAAATAACATCAAACCACTACACCATGAATAACATCACCAAAAATAAATTTAAACAAACTTTATAACATCAGTAAAATCCATATCATTTTCAATTAAAATTTCCCTGTATTGTGTTAACAAAGCCAAACCAAAAAATAGACCAAAATGGCGAGAACAAAGAACTTCTGCAGACCAAATAACTTCCCAAAGTTGAAAAACATCAGAATATTGTAATTCTAAAAAAAGAATTTCTTTCCATTTTCTCTTAAAATTAAAAAAACCTCTCTTAAAATCGAGTAAAAGCCAACGATAAAAAACAACAAAAGAATAATCAACATTTCGCATTAATTGAGAATACAATTCTGGATCCATTACTTCTACTAAATAACGCTGAAAAAAATAAATTTTGTTTTTTTACAAATTAGTTTCGAGCCCTCCCCAAACTTAACATTTCGATATATCTCGTCATCTTTTCGGGGTTTTTGACAAATTAATGAAATTTGATATTTTAGCATGTCTTTTTAAAAATGGATTCGAACCTTTGACCCATCATTCTCCGAACAAACCACTACACCAAGAAGGACAATTTTTGGTCCATCAGGATTCGAACCCGTGACCTTTGAATTCTTTGACCTCCAAGCAACACATCAAGGAAATCAAAATTTTCGGCCTCATCGGGATTCGAACCCATGACCCCTTCCCTACCCTGACCAAAAATTAACCCACTACACCAAGAAGAACAAATTTTTGGTCTACCGCGATTCAACCCGTTACCTTTAAATTCTTTGACCTCGAACCAAAACATCAAGAAAAACATTTTTTCGGCCTCACCGGGATTCGAACCCACGACCCCCTTCCCTCCCCAGACTAACTATTTACCCACTACACCAAAGAGTAAAATTTTTTTAATTTACAAAATGATTCAAATTTTCATCCATTTCATTATTATGTTTGCATTGAGGAAAATTTTTAGCCATTCTTCTCAACATTAAACGTTCAAAACAAGCAAGAGTTAACGATTCATCAACAAATAAAGCTAATAAAGGGGCCAAAACATCGCACATTCCTTGAACATACCCATCGTTTATATCAATTTTTAAACGTCGATAAATGTAAGTAACCATTATTTTACGTAAAATAATTAAATTTTCCATTTTTGAATAAAAACGAGTAATTCTATCACAACGATCAACGTCCTGAAAAAATTAAAAAAAGAATTTGTAGGGGAAAAAATTGTCTAAATAAATTCTAAAAAAATAATTTTTGGAGGTGAAATAAGGGTTAAGTAGTGAGTTTATTGGATTCCGCTTGTAAATGAGTTTACTGAATTCTGTCCTAGATAGTTAAAGTTTCAAGTGATTACCGGGATTACCAGGACAGGGTTAATACAGCGTGATCTCTGTCACGACAGATCTTTCGAAACTTTGTCCTCTAAAGGAATTCCAAATTTTTTGTAAAAAAATAGGAGAATAAATTGAAAAAAACTCCCCTACCAATTAGTAAAAAAATCAATTTAAAAAGGTAGAAAATTCAAATTGAAAATTTTTTTTAGAAATTGAAACTAACCTTTTGAACACGTATTAAATTTGCCATTAATTCTTTAGCTAATAACTGAAAAAAAAATTTAAAAATAAAATTTACAAAACAAACATTTTCTGAATTAGTCAATTCATTTTCATCAAAATCAACAACATCCAAATCTTCAAAAACATCAGAATTTGTTGATTCTGAACGTGTTGAAGAAGGAAAATAATCTTTTTGAATTGAAAATTCTGTTGTAGTTGTTGTTATAATTTCTGAATTTTGACGAGAATATTCTGAAAATTAATTTTTTTATTCGATGATTTATGAAAAAAAATTATAAAATTAAAAAAAAAAATTTTAAGGATAAATCTAATAAAATTTTTTAGGTTCCCTCTCTTTATTATACTTCCCAAAAAATCTTCCCATTTTAGCAGAAAGTCATACTCATTAAGAAATTTTTCTTGAAAAAAAATTTTTAGAAATTTTTTTTGAAAATTTTCAGATTAAATTTTGCGGACTTCTAAAAACATAAAAAAAAGAAATTAAAAATTTTCAAACCATTTTTTTGTAAAGAATTTGAAAGAAAATTCTTTTCAATTTCCATCCATTCATTGGAATCCTTTTCATATTCTTTTTTCAAAAAATCAATTTTATTTTTATCCAAATCTTCATGCCATTCAACAATTCTTAATAAATAAGGCCAAGATTGAGCACGAAGAAAATCATTTTCTATTCCACAAAAATAGACACGAGTCAAAAATTGTTTGTAAAGAGGAATCTGTTGGAAAATTTAAAAAATGATAAACTCGAAAAATATGATAAATAGGACATTGTGTTCCCATTAAAAGTCGACTAAAACACCAAAGCACAATCAAAAAATAAAAATTCCTCCATTTATCAGGGCCAACAGAAAAACATTTTTTCTGATGGCCCTGAAGCATCAAAAGAAAAATTTTTTTAAAGTAGTTCGCAATTTTAAGTAAAAAATCAGCAAATTAAATAGCAACCCGCATGTAAAACACACACGTATTTCTCCGCTGAAAGCCAAAATGCTTCCCTCTCAAAACCGCAATAGCGCGTAGAACAAAAACAACTCGTGCGCGATTTTTTAAATTTACCCCTATATACCAAGAATTCCTACTAATAATAAATCCAATTCTCCCAATAAATTAAAAAAATAAAAAATAAATATACCGATTTCTCCATTCTACACAATTTCCAAAATGTTTCAGTTACAGGCATTAATTCCCCGTCAATTCCATTTTCTTCTCCTTCATTTCCACAACTTTCAATTTCATATACAATATTTGCCAAACGAGTTGAAATTATTCTCATATGTCGACAATAAGATAACCAACCATTAAATGCTCGACTTAAAATTTGTGTTTTCATTGCTTTTGTTGCGTTAACCAAAGATGATCTTTATATAAAAAATTTTTTAATAAAATTAAATAAAAGGTTGGACCTAATTATGAAAAATTAATATCAGGTTAATAAAATTTGATTGACCAAATAGATGGAGGGAACTGTCTAATGATATGCTTATCAAGGGCGTAGCCAGGGGGCTTCTGGGGCTAAAGCCCCAAACGCCAAAATTTTCTCCAAAATTTTGGAGCAAACCCCATTTTAGTCCCCCTGGCTACGCCCTAGATGCTTATATAAAAAACGCTTTCGTGGCCTCAGACAAACAAAATAAATTCAAAGAGAAACTAGGTAAGGTACGACTAAAATTTAAAAAAATACCTAACAGCCTGCCCATCATCATCTTTTGAATTTTCTCTACTTGTAGATCTCTCACTAATTTAAAATTAAATTTAAACAAAAATAGAAATCCCAACAAAAAAACCTCATCATTTTAAAAGGTGCTTTAGTCAAATTAAACGACGGAACAACAATTGCTGGACCTATTGTAGAAGCAAAAGAAACGATACTGAAAATTAGACCAACACTAGTTTCCTTGCAATTGGATTTATCTTCTGTTGTATTTTTGATATTTGTTGAAGATTCATCTAAAAATTAGTTTAAAAAAATTTTATAAAATTAAAAGAAAACGTTTCTTAAAAATTTTTTTGAGGCAGAAAATTTTTTTAAGTAATTTAATAAAAAATATTCAAACACAACGAAACCGACTTGGTAATGGACATGGATTTTGGTATCCGTATCCGGATATTTAAGGCGGATACAGATAGATATCCGCATACATTTTGAACTTATCTGTATCCATATCCATTACCAAGCCTGCAACGAAAAACCATAAAATGGACCGAGTCCACAACTATAAAATCGAGTAGTCCAAAAAACTTCAAACTCAACCAAAGGGTAAGTTTCAGCCTTATAAAATTCCCCATCTTAAAAATTTTAAAAAACCTTCAATTCCTTTAATCGTCTCCAACGGAGGCTGAATACGAAAAAGCGGCGCCAGCCCATTTTCCACAGCAAACAGAAAAGTTAGGCATTGTCGTTTGTGTCCAAAACGAAATGATATTTGTTCAACCCCATCAGAATCAACCAAAACAACAACATAGAAGGAAATTGATTCTTTTTCTGAAAATTTTGAAAGGAAAATAAGCTTTAAAAGAAAATAAGGTAAAATTGCCGTTTACAACCCCCCTTTTTCCTCCCCAAATTTTCTTCAAATGAATGTACAGAATGGTCAGACTTTCCCCTTGCTTCCGAAAAAAAGATTAGGTAATTAATTTATACTCTGCTTTGGAGAGAGAAGGATAAGAAGAAAAATCTGAACATTAAGTACATTGATAAGGGAAAATTTTGGGGAAGGAAAAGGGGGGTTTTGCGGACTTTTTAAAAAAATTCGCAAAAAAATTTTTAAGTCTTTAAACAAAAATTTTTAAAAGAAAATACTTTGATGTAAATGAATGTGTGTAATCGTCTCCATTCTTATCGAAAAAGGAGTTTGATGACTATAAGAATTGAGTTCAAAACAAGTTTTCGATGTAAAAGTGTTGTGTTGGCTTGAAAAGAATTTTTTTAATTTTAAAAAATAGAAAATGAAACTTTGTGTCAGAATGAAGTAAAGCATTCGGTGCCCATTTAAGCGTTAGAATTCCATTAATGTCTTGTTGAAGTGTAAGATAACCTGGAAAAAAGTGATTGAGTGTTTAGAAGCAAAAGAAGTTTTTAGGGGAATAATCCGCAGAATTTTAATAAAGTCCAAAATTTTAAAAGTCCGCATTTCCCCCTATTTTTATTTTTTCCTCATTTTCCCTAAAATGTGTCAAAAATTCCCCAATTTTAAGTTAAAAACCTTGTTGCTCTCTTCCTCCAAAATACACAGAAATATTATTTTTCGCAAAAAGAATACAAGTTCTTGGATTTTGATGAAACGAGAACGCATTTTCGCGACTTGAAGATGCTGAATTGAGTTCTGGAGAGGGAGCTATACTTGTTCCTCTTTTAAGCAACTGAAAAAAATATTTTAGAAATTTTAAGAAAAATCCGCAAGTTTAGAAAAGTCCGCAAATTTTGAATAAATCCGCAAAATTTTGTCCGCAAAACTGAAAAATCCGCAAAATTTGCCAAGATCGCAAAATTTGTCCGCATGTCTGGAAAAGTCCGCAAGTTTTGTCCGCAAGTTTTAAAAAACAATTTGCGGAGAAAACTTGCAGAAATTTTATAAAAATTAATAAAATAAAAAAATATACCGCCAAAGGTGGTCTTCTTTTAGGTGTTGTAGAGGTCAACGAATTTTGTGAAAAATTACAATTATTTAGTGTGCTCATAATTTACATTTATTTTCATTTACTTAAAAAATTAAAAAGAAAAATATGTTAAAAAATAAACATAATAAAAGCAGCTTTTACACTTTAATGAAGAAGTAAATAAAAAAAGGAAGGCTCTTAAGCCTGCCTCACGCATAACTAAATTAGTGAGAGTACAACTTTAAAAAAAAAGTTGGACAGAGGCTTATTTATTCCCACACGCGAATGGCAGAAAGTATTTTTTTATTTTTAAGGTAAAAAAGGGGATAATCAATGAGAGAAGAAAATGTTCGAAAAAAGGTGTAAATTTTAATAATTAATTGTGTTGAGGTTGGGGAAAATTGGAAAAAGAAGGTAACTAGGAAATAAAATCTAAAACCAAAGATGAGATTAGAACCTGACCCTCTATTACCTCTGGGTAGAGGAAAAGGGTGGGCTAGCGAAGGGGGGGGGGATAAAGGGAAGGGGGGATAGAGGGAAAGGGAGGGATAGAGGAGAAAGAGGAGGGGAATAGAGGGAAAGGGGGCGGGTAGTATAAGAGTTTAACAGTAGCAAAACAGAGGGGACGGTGAAAATTTAAAAAAACCTCAAAGTCTCAGATTTTGGCCGGGTATAGGGCATAACTCTCTAAACCTCCGATCCGAAGAGGATTTGTATCCGAAGCGGATTCCAATTTCCTTCCGTTTTTCATACTCTAACGTCCCCCAATTCTAATAAAAAATTGGAAAAAGAGCGGAGGAAAGGAAGAAATAGCATAGTTAATTTAAATAACCGCTTTATGGCACAATTTATATAAACATTATGCCAAGAAATATTTTTTTGTAAGAATAAACAGCTGATGGGATTTATTAAGCTTGTTTTTCCTTTTTTTGTTTTTAATTTTTTTTTAATTTTATTTTTAATTAACAGTTATGGTTGAAGAGATTGATCGTGTAGAAGAGGAGGATTCCAATTTTCTTCCATGTCAGAGTTGGCAAATTACTCCCGATCCAATTGTTATTAGAGGAATAGGAAACTTGACGTTGTAAGACAAATTTTTATTTTTTTGGTTTAGTGGGAAAGTGTTAGGTTCGAAGATTTTATAGGTCGTGGGTTCGAACCCCGCCGGGGGAAAATTATTTTTTTTAGTGACAGGGGAATATTTCTAAATTCTTAAAAGATTGTTGGCCTCCCAAAAATGCCAAAAATATTTTTTTATTATTATTATTAAAGGTTCGGACTCAATTCACGTTTCTCTTCAGAATTTCCATGTTCACTAAAAGGAAAATTGGCACCAGAAGAATTTCAGGTTTATTTTTTTTTATTTTAATTTTATATTTAAATTCCTTTATAGGACACAATGGACCGAATTAATTTTGTTTTGCAAAGGAACATCCATTCACATTTGCGTTGGCTAATTTGTGGTTTAATTTTTTGTTGTTGTAGTATGGGTATTTCTTTGTGGCCGGTGATTTATTTGAATAAAGGAGTAAGTCTTGATTTTTATCTAGTATATAGGAGGAATCTTTACTTGGGGAATATTTGGCAAGGCTATAAAATTAAATTGGGGCACGAAACTTTTATCTGTTCTGAATTCATTTAGAAATTTCCCTATTTTGGTAGATCCTCTTTATATTTCTCCATTTGTAAGGGCGGAACCAGGGCCGTAACTAGGATTTTTTCGGGGGTGGGGCCAAGAGGGGGCCCCAAGGTAACACATTGCCTGAATCTATATTCCATAGTTGCGGGCTATAAATAACTCAATCACTTCTCTGATGTGAGTGGATTTCTTATCAAAACAAAAATTTTTGAAAATCGAAAGAAAAAATATAAATTCCTGAATGGCCGTGATTGTTAACTTGCCATTTTTCCTTTTAATTTTCCTTTTTTTACAGACAATTTCAGCAGTCAAAGAAACACTCGAACAAGAAAATCAATTACTTTATAATAAATTAGGTTTAATTTTTAAATTAATTTTTCCAAAATTTCCTTCATTTTTTAAAGGTTTTAATTGGAAATTATCTCGTAGGCCTGTTGAAAATACCGAAAATTTAACTGAATATGTGCTGCTGATTGAAACTTTGGCTAAAATTCCATTGTCAGTGCCAGACTGATTTTTAAAGCGCAGATTTTTTGCTCAAAAATTGTATTTTTTTACTTTAAAATTTTTATTTTTAATTTCAAATTTTGTAAAAAATTGCTTTTATCTCATTTTAGTATTCAAAAAATCCATGTTTTTCTTTATTTTTCTCCGATCGGGATTGAATTCATTAAATTTTTCTGTTGCATACTATGTGTCTAGCCGACCCGATTTCCGAAAATTGGGAATTTATTTTTTGCTGACTAAACACACCTACACACATTTTTAGGAAGAGAAATCTCGTCAGTCGAAAACTTTGAAGCCCTATAACTTTTACATAAATTTGGGGGACAGGGCAAAAAAACCAAAAACACTGCAAAATTTTTGGTGGTAGTTCGCGGTGTTCCCTTGTAAATAATTAAGTATTAGGGTTAAAAATCCATCAATTTTTATTTTTACTAGAAGAGATAAAAGTAAATTTTCATCTAAAAATACTCTCATTAAAATGGTAATTTTCAAGTCATAAATAATTTTTTAAATTTTTTTCTTTAAACATTTCTATCCATTCTGTATATATTTATTGTTTCTCTTTCCCCTTTCAATATTTTTTAATAAAAAAATCGCAAAAAATATTTCTCGATATTTTAAAAATTTTTGTGTTTTTTTAAGTTCCTCTTTAGAACACAAAAATAAATTTATAAAAATTAAAAAAAATTTTTCTTGAAAAATATGATTTCCTGGGTACACCCCAAGGTACCTCAAGGCCAAGGTACCGCCGAGCCATAACTTTGTTCAAAATTCTCAAATCCGGGACGCCCTGGTATGGTTCGATTCAGCTCGTCGAGATGCCTCGAACCATACCAAGGTGTCCCGGATTCGACAATTTTGAAGAAAGTTATAGCTCGGCAGTACCTTGGCCTACTCCCGTATTTCCTTGTATAATTTTTTTACATTATTTTTATTTTCTCGATTACACCAAATAGTAAATGCAAAAATAAAATTAAAAGAAAAAAAATCAATTATTTAAATACAAGATGGCATTTTTTTTAAATTAATATTTTCTTTTTTCATTAGAAGCTGTCGGTTCATTTAATTTTCGTTTTAAAATTGATTTTACGGAAGGCTAAAAAAATTTTTTTTTTCAGTTTTTCATATTTTTTAAAAAATCCTCGAAATTTTTAAAAATTCTCAAAAATTCCCTTACTTGTGTTTCCTCGTCTGTCCGACTAAAAGAATGAAGTTCAACAATATCAGCACTCGAAACAGCAAATAATACATCATATGGACGCGGTCCAAACCCTGTATGATGAGCAGATCGACATTTAAAAATATTTCTGTCGTCGGTTAATAAACTTTAAAAAATTATTTTTAATTCAAAAAAAATTAAAAAAAACCTTGATTCCATCCCTGTATGTGGGGCAACACGAACAACTTCCAAAAATTCACAATAAACAATATAAAGATGTGGAGCTGTATAAACTAAAAAGGATGAGAATTACAAAATTTTTTATAACAAATTTTTTTATAAAAATTACCAAATTCAAGCGGCACTTTTTCCCATTCAATATTTCTGCTTCGAGTTCTCTTTCCTTTTGAATTGACAAAAAGTCCAAAATCTTGAAAAAATTAAATGTTAAAAAATTTTTTCCTAAAAAGCAAAATTTTTTCAAATACAATCAAATCTCTCTACAAAATACACAAATATCAAATAATTTATTTAAACTACGTTTTTTTAAATTTAGGTTGATACTGACAAGGGAACATTTTCTTATTGTGACTGTGAATTTGATATATGTATTGTTCGGTTCGATAAAGAGCCCCCCCTCCCTCCACCCCGACTCCCTGCTGATATATCAAATTCACAATCACAGAACACAAAACAATCCCGTGTGAGTAGGTACCCTCCTTATTATAAGACTTTTCCTGTCACAAGTCAAACTGTTTCCACTCCCTTAGGGTTGGCCTAATTATATATTATTTCAAACAAAAAATATAAAAAACAAACTATGAAAAGCCAAAAGAAATTCATTGTCAGAAATTTCAACAACTGCCACAGGAAAGTCATAAGGACAATTATCTACTGCCAATTGCATATCATCTCCACCAAAATTACTTTCATTTGAAAGAAAACGGAAATTATCTGCACCAAAAATAAATCCATTTTGTGTTGAACATATAGCTATTGGCGGTTCTTCTGTTAGTATTTGTCTAATTGTTGAAAATACTCCAAGTTTAACAACATATTGAAGAATATAAATTGAGTCGATTGTTGCTACATAAACAAAACTAGAAAGTTAAGGAAACTTTTTTTATTGTGTATAAAAATAGGGACGTCGCCTTCGGGAAGTCTCCCTGTATGTTCAGAAAATACCGATAAGTTATTTTATAAAAAAAAGGGGAAAAAATTGTCTATGAAGGTATTAAAGCTTCCCAGATTTGAATTTTTCTCCCCGATTTGAATGAAAAAAAGACCAGGCACAGGATCATTCGTAGGATTTTACGAATCCCACATATATGCAGTCAACATGCCTAATTTTTAATTTGCGGGGTTTATACCGACGGATCCTTTCTTAATGAATTTGAAATGGGGATTATAAGCCAGTGTTTGGAATTTTAAAAATTGCTCGCACTCGTACGAATTTTGGTACGAGCTTCCAAGCACTGATTATAAGGGTGAATATGTAAGGAATTTATCTCCCAAACCCTAATTTACAAAAAATATTTCCCTCAAACAAACCGTTTTCCACGATTATGCTCAACTTTACTAACAACAGCAATATGACATTGTTCAATATTTGGAGCAGCAGTGGTAACATAAACACTTGGTTGTTGATCTGCACGAAGGGCACGATTTAATTGTTGAGAATGTATAGCTCCAAGTCGACGACTTGAATCACAAATAGTAAGAAGCATATCAAATTCAGGAAGAAATTCCATCCAGAAAACCTTTAAAAATTAAAAAATATATTAGTCAGACCTCGCTATAACCTAGTCCCAAGTAGACATGTAAATTTAAAATACGTGATTTTTAAATTTTAGCTGACCACCGGGTAAAGTTGGCAGATCCTGGGAAATCCCCGATATCCTAATCTTATATCCGAGTCGAAGTTTTCCGGATATCCGGACTTTTTTCTGATCGGATTCGCCAACCATATCAAGTTGTAGGGGAGCTGTTTTGACACCCTTCAAAATTTAAGACACTCATAATTATAGTCCAGATATTATAAAGTCTCACTGAGATAAAAGGGTCTCAAAAATGTTCCCGGCCTCAAATCAAAGGAGTTATCTTATAACGAGACCCACTGCAGTATCTTTAATAAAAAAATAAATACATACTTTAAATATTCCAGCAATTTGAAACGGTGTACGATTTTGTGTTATTGCTGCTGCAAATAAACCTTCTTGTGCTCCAATAAGTAAATATTCATTTCCATTATTATAAGGTAACCATTGAGTACAATTTATACATAAATTACGAGGTTTTTCCAATGAAAGTAAAAGTTGATTTGTTACAATTGTTGAAGATGGTCGCCTTTGAATAAAAATACGACGATTTGTAGCTTGTTGTAATGCTTGAACCCAACGTTGTTTTGCTTGTGATGTTGGGGTTAACATTAATAATGTACGACTAAAAAAATTTATTAAGGAGAGAGGTTCCAATTTAAGAAAAGTCCAACGAGAGTGGACTTCTCAAATAAAAAAAATTTACCCCAAATTTTATAAAATTCTTCTCATTCATGATAAAACTAAAACAATATGTAAGACAATACCCAAGAAAATACCCCAATCCTTAACAATCTCTCTCCAAAAAGGGAATTTTAGAAATTAGAAAAAGGTTAGGATGAATTTAGTGAAGTATCGATTCACATCAGTCAGTGAAATATTTATTTAGTAAACTGATTTTGGGATAAAAAAGAACCCCAAAACTTGTGTTAAATGTAAGGCTTTTCTGAAGACCTTTACCTAATATAAAAGGAAATTTTCAATTTTATTTCATAGAAATTAAAAATTTGCAGAAAATTCCACAAAAATATCCGAAGAAAATCATGTCAGTTTAAAAATAAAATTAAAAAATTCATACTTTGGCATTCTCAATTCAATAAGCATCGACATATCATTCTCTTTTACACCACCCAACGGTTTTTCAGTTGTCTGATTATAAATTCTCCATTGTTCATGATCCAAATTGATACAAATAAATGGAGGGCCATTTCTTTGTAATGCTAATTGATCACTTTCATAAAAATTGAGCGAATGTTTTTCTATCATAGCCCAAGCATTTTGCCATTTTTCAGTTATTGCAAAAGTAACTGGAGACGAAGAAGAAAAACGTGTAGCACCGCTAGGTGTTGAAGCAGGTAAAACGAGCAATTTTATCCATCCAGTCATTTGTTCTCCATTCATTCCTCCACTATAAGCATCCAAATAAAAATCAGCACATTCATAGGGTAATCCACAAGTATTTACAACAGAAACTTTACAATGCTTGTGAACAACCATATTACAATCACGACAACGATATACATAAGTAAAGTAAGGAAAGCCTTCAAAACAGAATTGACAACGATTCTAGAAAAAAAGGAAAATAAATTTTTTATTGATTCAATACAGCCAGAACTCGTTTAAGATTTCGGTCCCCCTTGAGGCTTGAAAAATAGTAACTTATGATTGTTGTTTCAATCTCTCGCTAGAGGGGGTAATTAATAGGGAGGGTAATTGAGAGTGGGGCATTATTTCAGCATTTACAGCATATTAAATAGAGGTTGGCATTTATATGGAATTTTGGAATTTCGATCCATTGTTTGGTCATTTCACGGCCTTTAGGGGTTTGGCATTTCAATGATTTGACATTTCGATTCTCCTAACTGTTCCCCCTCTCCTTATCTTATTGTTAGAGTTGTATCCCATTTCGGGCATATTTTAACTGAAGCCCGACTTACTAGATTAAGTTCCCTTTTAAAATTCCTTACCGAAGCCATTGTAACAAATTGTCTCTTCCAACGATGTGGGATATCATGACGCATTTTTCCAGGTGTAAAATTAGAATGTGTTCCAGTCACAAATGTTTTCAAAGTTAAAGATTCGGAAGTTGTTTGACTTGAAAATTTTTATTAGAAAATTTAAAAAATAAAAATTATTTTTATAAAAACCTCAAAGTTTCACAACTTTGTTGGTCTCTAATTGAACGTCTAACATTAATTAATGGAACAATTTCGTCTTCTTCAATTTTTTGATTATTTTGTGTCTCGGCCAAAACTTGAAAAAAATTTTTTTTTTAATTTTTTAAAACTTTAAAAACCTCTTCTCTTCATTTCCAAATCATTTTTTAATTCATCACGTTGTTGTTCTAATTGTTGACATTGTTTGTATTCTGATTCAATTTCCTTTAAAAAAATTTAATTTTATTTTTAAATTATTTTTTATTGTTAATCCCGAAAATATTCTTTTTCTTTTAAAGGCAGGAGAATAAAATAATCATTAGAGCAGTGTATAAATTAACAACAGAATTTACACTGCTCTAATACATATGGTTCGACCTCAAATCAGAAATAGACCCATAATAGGACGTCCAAAATTTATTTTAACCATGCGGGTGGGGTCTCGGTAAACTTAAAATAAAATACAAATAGTAATTCAAAAGTTTTGGCAATCTCTTATTTTTGAAAACCTACTTAGGGTCGGGGGTTTCGAGTCGAGCCGATGCTCTAGTCATTTTTTTGGGACCAAATCGACCGAGTTCTTTTTCGGACAAAAATTCGATGCCCGATTCAACGGGACCGGGACCCAACCCTAAACTTAATGATTCACTCCTATAAATAGAAAAAAAAACAAACCGAAATATAATCAGATTCAGAAGACAATAACGAAGGCCGTGGACGAGGCAATTTTTGCATTTGTTTTGGTTGCATAACACTTTGTAAATAAGCAACTAATTTAGATTTTTGTTCCAAATCGGCTAATGCTTCTTGAAGTTTATCTTCCAAAGAGACCTAAAAATAAAATTAAAATGATATTAAAGGTTAAATGGGAAGTTTTTAAAGTATATGAGGAAAAGGAAGATACAACAGGGTTTAAAGTCTATTCATAAAAGAAAAAGTTAATCGCCCATTAAAGTAGGCGAAGCTCCTAAAAAATAAAATAATTGTAATTGAGCCTAGAGGTTACAGAAGATACATATTTGACTCTGTTTTTGCTATATACTTCTCCCCTTTTTTATGCCTTTAAAAAGTGAATCAATCGAAAAAGATTAATTATTTTTATAAAGGAGCAAAGTTCAAAACATCTTTTGCAAAGCATCTGAAGCTAAGGTAAACGCAAAAATTTAAGGCGCACACCCAATGTTAGACCCCCCCCCCCCAAAATCGACCCACTGGCTACGCCCCTGATCATGTTAGAATTAGAATTCTGTAAGTTAGAATTCCTGTATGGGTAATTTTGTTAGACTTCATATCAATCTAGATTTGCCCAATTCTCAAAGCTATACCTCCCTACTCAATTAAAAAAATCCTCTTTTCCAAACCTTCTTTTCTTCCGCAATTTTCAATTCTAATTTTAATTTGTCACTTTCTTCATTTGAACCTTTAAATTGATCTCTAAAATTCTCTGCCTTTTGTAAACATTCAGCGAAATTTTGTCTTAACAAAGTATTTTCATTTATTAAAGCCAATTCACGTTTTCGAATTTCTTCAAGTTCTAATTGTGTTGATGTTTGTAATTCTTTAATTTGATTTAATTGTTGTTCTAAAGAGCGAATATCAACAACAGATTGGGCTCCTTTTTGCTAAAAAATAAATTAAGAAAAAAATTTTTTTTAGAAAAATATTGCTATTATTATTAAGTACCAGGGTTGTCAGTTTAATCATATTCTTCGGTTAACTAAAAAACGATCCGAAGATTTTCAGTTCGAGCTGAAAACGCAACCCTAATTTTACTACACTATTAATGTTAATCCCTACCAGGAAAACCTTCAAAAAATTTTTTTTTCAAAAATCTGCAAATATTTACAGATCCTAAATTTTCTTGGCACCTTATAATAAATTAAAAAATTCTTTACAAAAAATTACAAAATCCTTAAAAAAATAAAAATATACCAATTTTTCCCGTATTTCAGCTACTTTTCCCTTCTTAATTGCATCAAATTGTGAAGTGGAAGGTTCATTTAATTTTTCACAAGACACAATTTCAGGTTCTTTTTGAACGGTAGAACGAGATTTTTTAAGTTGAAGCTAGTAAAAATTAATTAAAAAAAATTTTTTAAAATTAAAAAAACCTCCAACTCGACAATTTTTCTTTCCAATAATTTTTCATTATTTTTTAACGACAAATTTTCACTTTGTAATTTACGGAATTCTGAATTTTCTGAACGCAATTTTCCACTTTCTGCTCGCATTCGTTCATAATCGTCTTTATAAGAATTACGTTCAAATTCACATTTTTGAAGTTTTTGCTAAAAAAGAATTATTTTTTTTAAAGTTTAATACAAAAACACTCCCAAACAGTGAGTAAAATTAAAAAAATTTTTTTTATGTATTTTATCAAGTTAAAAATTGTTGGAAACCATGTTTATTCATGACCGGTTAATCCTATTAATTTTTGTCTGTGGAGGCCAAAATGGTAAATTTTAAGGACATTTGAGCTGTAACAGGCAAAATTTAACCTGTCGCGAACAACCCTATTGAAAATCTAATTTTGGGAAATACTCGAAGAAAATTTTAGAAAATTTTCAAAAAAAAGTCAGTCTTTAGGAAGTTTTGAACCTTTATACGACTTCTAATCCCAGTTTCAGAGCCAAACCATTCCCCAAACAGAATAAAAAAATTCACTCTCTCTAGTCTGTGAGTGTTCCCAACTTGAAATACTCCCAATCTAAAATTTAACAAAATAAAATTTATACCATTAATCTTTCACATTGTGCATCCAACTCTACAAGCGTTGTTTTTGCTTCTTCATATTTTTTATTATTTGAATCCAATTCAAATTGTAAACGATCTAATTGTAGTTTGTCACACGACTCACTTCTACGTTGAACCTGCTTGATTTGTTCGACCTGAACGAAAAAAATTTTTCTGGTAAATTTTTTTCATTTTTCTCTTCATTCCTCTTATTTTTTAATTATTAACCTTCTCTTCACAATTTTTATTGACATTGTCAAGTTGGTCTCTTAATCTGCCATTTTCTTTATTTAAAATATCTCGCTGACATTCTGTTGCCGCCAATTTCTTTCTTAAATCTTCCAAGATAAATTTATTATTTTCGAGCTGTTTTTGCTTGATTTCCTCAACCTAAATAAAAATTCTTACTTTAAAATCACATCTAAATTTGCCTATTTATACCTTCTTTTCGCCATTTTCTGCTTTTTGTAAACATTCAGCAAAATTTTGTCGTAACAAAGTATTTTCATTTATTAAAGCCAATTCACGCTTTCGAATTTCTTCAAGTTCCAATTGTGTGGATGTTTGCAATTCTTTTATTTGAGTTAATTGTTGTTCTAAAGAGCGAATAGCATCAACAGATTGGGCTCCATTTTGCTAAAAAATTTTAAAAATAAAATTGAAAAAATTATTTTCGAAGAGGGATTATAAATTTAAGAGTCTCCAGTAGAAGCTATTAGTGGTTTTCGGTCTAATTAAATTCTTTGGTTAATAAAGAACGATTCTAAACTCTTCGGTTTGAAATCTACAACACAAAAAACAACCCTACAAAAATTTCCGAAAATATGGAAAAATTTGCAGATCCGGAATTTTCCCCCAAAAAAAGCAATTCAGAAGTTCAATACAAAAATTAGAAATAAAACCGAATAATCCCCTTTTTAAAATTAAAAAATAAATATCATACCAATTTCTCCCGTATTTCAGCTACCTTCCCTTTTTGAATTTCAGCAGAATTTTCTGAAGTGGAAGGTTCATTTGATTTTTCAGAAGAGATTTCAGGGCCTTTTTGAACAGAAGAACTTGATTTTTCCTGGTCCAAAAATGCCCTTTTTTCCTCTCTAGCAGCTAGAAGATCACGACGAAGTCTATCAATTTCATCTTTGTATTCTTTAAGAAGACCCTTTCGTGTAATTCGTAAATTAACTTCTGGGTTGTTTTTGATGTTTTTGGCTCTCTGAGCATAGTCCAAAGTGTTAACAGATTCCTAAAAATTATTGAAACTCTTCACAATTTTTAACCCAAAAAACCTCAAAATTTGAAGAAGCTGGAGATATCGTTGCAATAATTGTTGTGATTGTTTTACCACCCAAGGAGTCTTGCAATATTCTAGTCAGCTTACTTTCACGATAAGGAATGTGTGAAGAGCCCATAGTCAATGCATTGATTACACGTCCAAGTGCTAATAAACTTGTGTTGATATTTCCTAATTTTAAAAATTCTCTTAGGATCGGGCTTCAGGAAAAAGTTCGGGGTTTCGAGTAACCCGACCCATCCCGTAATTGTAGCTAATGAGTTATCCTTACAAATGAGATTTAATCAATAAAAATATACCCGCTTCTCTAGCTCTAATATCTGTCGCTCCAGAACGTCCAATATTTTCGGAGCCAGCGAGATCCACCAAGTTAAGTTTGCCTTGTCGAAGCAACTCTTCCCCGTCTACAAGTCCAGGTTCTCGAATCTAAATTTTAATTCTTAACGATTTTTAACACAAAAACAAACCATAACAGAAATAGTGAAAACAGAGTGAGAACGGCTACAAATTAACAAAATATAAATAAAAATCATAAGGGAAACCTAGAAGTCATGTTCATAAGAGTTGTGGCTGTACGGCGCTTCTCAGCTCCACGTCTGAGCAAATCATAAACTTCCTTTAGCGAAAGGACTATAACCTCTTCAGCACCAATGATTGACACTCCCTTAAAATTTTCACAAACTTCACCTTTCCAAGTCAAAAATAAACCTTTTCTTTATCATCAAAAATTCTCAAAGATTCCAATTGAGAGTTCTCGCTTCGACTGAGCAAATCAAAAATTTGTTCATTGTAGAGCTCCACAAAACTGACGCGCACAGTGTAATCTATATCCACTCCAAGTTCAGAAAATATTTGTTGAAGGGCTCTAGGGATGATTCCGGCTGTTGGATCAGTGTTCCACGTGTAGTCGTTAGAGTCGTCATGACGTCCTTCCATTGTAAACGTTTTTCCACTTCCGGTCTGGCCATAAGCAAAAACTGTGCAATTATACCCATTAAGAACTTCTTTCATAAGCGGGGCTAGAACACCCTCATAAACTTCAATTTGGGTAGATTCTGGGCCAAAAACCTTGAAAAAATATTCGAAATCATTCAAAAACACAACAAACTTTATCATAAGATCCAAAACATTTTTGTCCTTGAATAAAGCGTAAAGAATCTGAAGCATTGACATTTTTGAGTGAAACAGTCTTTCCTCCAAAGTCACACGAAACGATGTTTTTGTTGCCAGAAAAACGTTCAGATTCGCTTAACGGTCTTAAAAAAGAAGGAAAAATTAGAGAAAACAAAGGGTGTAAAAAACCTGACTCTAACAACAACTTGGACATTTTTCCTTTTAACAGAATTATCTCTGGATCTGGTAGCTGACATTAATTAGCAAAGAATTCTTAACTGAAAATTATTTGTTTAGTTTTACGAAAAAAATAAATTCATTAAACAGAAAACCAGCATGAAAATTATTAACCTAATTTCTAAAAAATCGAAGGAAAAGAGAAGCCAACCTAAAAGGTATTAAAATTTGAAAAGAAAAAATACGCGAAGCATAAAATGACAAAATATCCCATTAAGCGAAAAAATGTTCATTTAAATTTTGGAGTTTTCTGGATTTTGTTTCGTTTAAAAAAGAGATCTCCAAGCAATTTCCCATACGACAAAATTATTTTTAACATTCTGATCAAAAACAAAAATGACGGGCTCAGCCGGTGATCGAAACCGGGACCTCTCGCACCCAAAGCGAGAATCATACCACTAGACCACTGAGCCTACATTAAACGATTTGATAAAATTCCTTTTAAATTCTATTTAAATACAAGAAGTCATTACGTTAAGAAATATTAAAAATACGTGTTAAAATGATCGTATTTTCCATTTTATTATTAAAACATCAAAACAAATAAATATACAACAAAAATCCAAACAAAATTTTATTCAAAAGTACTTTCACCCTTGGATCTTTCTTCATCTTTGTTTGACATCCTTTTATCATCCATTGTATCGTTAACAGTTTGTTTGCCTACAACAGTCGTCCCCTCATCAATATTTGTACTCGAAACATATTTCTTTACTTGAAGGTCTGTAGCATATGTAACTTGTGTTGGTGTATCATCATAAGTCGGAGAAGCCTCAATTTTTGGTTTGCTTCGATCGGCAATCATATACGAGTCTGTACTTCGAGCGGTAGCCATTTTAACTGTTTGATTCTTTTCACTCTTCTTGCAACATAGAGATAGACAGAGGAGAAGGACGATAAAAGTAGCAATGCTGAAAATTAAAAAATTATATGAGAAGGACCTTAACTAAGAGAGGCCCGAGGAGAGAGACCCATAAGAGCTTAAGGGCCTGATTTTACTAATTTTCAGAGGGAAACCTATCGTTGGAGAGAAATATTTCCGGCTGGAAAAACTCACAATATCACAATGATGACTACAACGATAATAAAAAGAGATTTTTTAGTAACAGAAGACGGAGAAGTTGGAGAAGGTTCCAGTTTTGTTGATGTTGTTTCCACTTGATTTTTTGTTGTTGTCTTAGTCTCAGTCGTTGTTTTGGACGTTGTTGTTATTTTTGTTGTTGAAGTAGTTGAAGGAATTTCTTCATTTCCAAGCATTAAAAGCTTGTATTTTGTCCCATTCTGCAAAAATAATAAAATTTATTTTTTGAGTCTGATATAATTCTAAGATATCCCTCTACAAGAGGTAATAAGGGATATCGTTTAGAAGGTGGCGGACCTTGGGAAATCCCTGGAAATATGTCAGGAGTGTCATTCATAGGTCACCCGAACCCCTGACATTTTTTCGGCCCTAAATCCATTACATATTTGAATTAACCCCACTAGATCTAGGCTTAAGGCATTCCTTCAATTCCTTGTCGCCATTATCCACAGTAGCGTTAAACTCGAATTGACCATCCCACGAATCTGTCAGTAGATCAACAACGCATCCCGTTTCTTTGACTTTGTTGTAGTTCAAAATGCTTTAACGAAAAATTAGCTTAAACTGGAAGCATAAAGATAGCTTGAGGGAAAATGAGAGACATCTCCCCGCCCCGAGTTGGCCTCCCCTTATTTCCCATACTCTTTCTCGTCTTACTCTTAACCAGATAGCAAGACTTGTTTCACTTACATGTCTCCATTCTTCTCGTCTAAAGCAACATTGCAAGAATTCGGGCCTTTGTACTCCTTGAGATCTTCGTTGCTTTTCACAATCCGTTTTGCTGTACCCATTATCTGGATTATATCCCCATTTAAAATGTGATGACCGTAGCCCACATAACTTATGTTGGAGACGACAAAAGTTGGCCAAATAACCAACAGAACGAAGAGAATAGCAAAGCCTCCAAGCATTTAGTGTAGATCACGCGAAGGATGTAGAGAAGGATGTTTTGGTGTTGGGATAAGAAATAAAATTGTTTTTGTGTTTTTATAGTCAACAAAACATATAAAAGCAAGATTCAAAACATTTATTCAATCCCATCTTCAAACAAAATCTGCTGCTTTTTCTGTTTCTAATTTGCCTTACAAACAATTGTTCTTCCAATAATGCTTCGTAGCGCTTTTCTTCCCATTCTTCTGTTGGTTGTTTGGACGTCGCTTAAGTGTTCTATGGCTGATGGGCCTACTATTGTTGGTTATGGTCGACATACTTTGGTTGGGAACAAAATAACTGAGTTTGGCAATGCTAGCAGGATCGCAGAAGACAACGAAGACCTCAAAGATTACATTGGGACTGAGAATGCTTGTGATGTGAAGTTTGATGAAAATGGGGATATGTAAGTTTTTGAAGGGTGGATTTTTAAGGGGAATTTTTGTCTGGCATCTAATGATTTTTAATTTAAAGTGTGCTCAACTACACCAGTGTTCGAGAGACGGGATGTGTTGTGGATCTAATGCATAGATATAATAGTTTTGCGCTTGATTTCACAGCCACTCTTAGCAACGACGACAAGGAAATAAAAGAATGTCTTGAAGAAATGCCTGATGGAATTAATGCCAATCTGTAAGATTGAATTTTTTGATGAAACTTTCCTTTTCTAGAGTTCCCTTCGCCTATACCATCGATTTGGAACGTTTTGAGAAGCTCAAAAAAGGACCATACAATGAGGACGCTTCTTGTGATAACGCAGCTGCTTGCCGCAGTGGAGGTGGGGAGTGCTTGAAGCCTGAAGGGTTGGAAATTGGTTGGGGCTATAAAGGAGATCGAGTCCATGTGGGCATGCAACAGGGTGAGATTTGGACAAAGATTCTTTTTTTAACTAAAAACCTTTCTAGTTGGAGAGCCCCATGTATGTGAATGTCCTCATAAAAACGACCGAATCAACATTAAAGAGTCTTCAGTCTTAGTGGAACTAGATGACAGTATTAGATGGTTTAAGTTGGATCCAACAGAGAAACATTGTGATGTTTATTTCCGCTTTTGTAAACCGCCTTTCGTCTGTAATAGTATCAAAGATGAAATGATAAAAAGTGAAGGATTAAGTCCGATGACTTGGGAGATCAGCTACAGAGTGAGCAAATTTAGGTCCTACAACCGTCTGCTTTCTTTATATCTGCTGCCACAGAAAGCAGCTTTCAAACATCATGAAGGGAAAAGTATTACCAGGAAAGCACCAACTGGGCCTAAATGCAATATTCAACTTAGAATTGTAAGTTTAAAAAATCAACATTCAGACCTCTTTTGTAGAGACACTCAATACTAGAACACCTCTTTTTAGGAGGCGTTTTCTAAATTTGGCAGGCCTCTTTTGGCGGGAGTTTCCTAAGCGATTACCTCTATTTAATGTACCCCTTGTTCAAAACCCTCAATAGATGCACCCAATACTGGATACACCTCTTTTTAAGAGACGTTTCCTAAATTTAAGTGGGCATTGACAGGGCGAACTTTAAGCAATACCCTCTATCTATGATACGCTCATTATACGATAAAATTAATACTTCTAGGTTCTATTTACAATAGTGGTCCGGCTTAAAATTTATAAAAAAAATTATTTTTAAATTTCAGAATGGCAAGGAATACAAGCTTCTAATAAACGATAAACGCGATCTTAAATGGGTGATCATTGTTGCTATAATTCTGCTAATGTAAGGAGATTATTTTTTGAAATTCGGAAAAAATTCTCTTCTAATTTTAGCTTAATTTGCCTTGCTGGTATCGGTTTCGTTATCTATATGAATGCAAAAACGAAAGAAAACATGGATAGGATGAGACGAAATATGAACTGAAATGATGAAAAATATACATATTTTTGTGTGATAAAATTTTTTCCTTTGTATAGGTTGTTAAAGTGGGAATAAAAGTGAGATGATATAACGAATGTAGATATTCACTTTTGGGGGTATCCTTAGATATCTTTCCCTTGATTACAACCAAATTTTAAAATTTATTTAATATTGAGTCTATCTACAAGTTAGATCCAAACATGTTATTATTTTAATATTAATATTAATATTTAAAAGTTTTTTGCGGACTTTTTCCGCAAAAATTTTTTTGCGGACTTATCTAACAATCCTAAAACGCGTCACTTAGTTAAAAACAAAAGTCAGATACGGCTCTTGTTAAAGCAGGAATCACAACAATAGATGCTGTGAATTTTGAAATCTACATATGTTCACAAATCACTGCCCGACTCTGATAATTTTTTATACACCCAATTCCATTCCTAATATGTAATTAAGGGAGCCCTGCAGAACTCCCCGGCCCAAAAATTTTAAGCGATATGCACCGGAATGAGCTTTTGGCAAAAAAATAATTTTTAAATAAAATAAAAAATATAATTTTATATATTAAGTATTTCCCCTTATAAAAATTTTTTGCGGAGATTTTTTTTCGGACTTTCTTTCTAGAAATTGTGTTAAATTTTTAGGGGACAACTTTCGGGAACAGGGTCTCTTTACCTCTTGTCTTAAATTATTTATTTAGAAATAACAAGACACCTATGTATCCTATCTACAGATACTGTAAATAAGGCCTATATTTTGTTCTCTATTTCCACCAGACACTACGTCCGAGTTTGATAATTTTTAAAATATCTTTCAGCTCCTTTTACCATACAAAACAATTAAGGGAATCCCGCAGAACTCCCCGGCCCAAAAATTATCTACACTAAACGGCTTTCATGCCTTCCGTAAAAAAATAATGTTTAAATTGAATAAAAAATATAATTTTATATATTAAGCATGTCCCCTTATAAAAATCTTTTTTTTTTTGCAGAAAAAATTTTTTCTGCAAGTTTTATCCGCAAATAAAATTTAAATAAAACTTTACTTTATTTACTTTAATAGACGATCATTGTTTTGATTTTTATTTTTAAATCTTTTTGGTCAATTTTTGTTTTTTTTCTTCTATTCTCGACTTCACAGCAAGCAAGAATAATTATAATTATATTTTTTGAGCACTACTTTCAAAACAAAAAAAGAAAGAGAATTGTTTTTTCAAGGTCCTTCGTCCAGTTTATATTTTTTTACGATTCGCTTGCTTGCCCTACTTTTTTTCTTTTAAATTAATCTTGGCATTTTCTCGAGCTCGTTTAAATGAATATATTTTTCCTTTTCTCTTGTCGACATTCAAGATTTTTTTGTTAGTAAAATTATTCAGTTAATCTTTGTTAAAATTTCAGAATTTTTTATTTTATTTATGTATGTGCCTAAAGTCTGCAAGTTTTATCCGTAAAAAAGAGATAAATGAAAACAAAAATCCCAAAATCTTTCAAAAAAATTTTGGGAATCGAAAATTAGTTTGCAAGATATTCCCTAAACAAAATACGTCGGGAAGTCTCGATTTTTGATGATCGGAAGGCACGTTTCCTCATACTTGATATTTTTTTATATTTATGGAGTTTTTGCGGATTTTTGGATTATTAATTGTATTTTCTACCAAAACTTGTCTAGACTTACCCACTAGTGTTTCACCGGAACCGAAATTTTGAACTGAACCGGAACTAAAAAAACGCCGGAATTTTCCTGAACCGGAACTTACGGTGAAACTCTATTACCCACACATTCATATCCTCTTATAGGAGGAAATTATAACGTGAGTTGTCTGTATTTAAATATTAAAAACTCAGAAATGAGTCGACGACGCTCTACAAGGAATACCAAAAAACCAACAAAAACAAAAATTATTCCCTCTAAAAAATTAAAAATAAATAGAAAAACTTCAAAAATGGTTTCACCAAAAGAAAAAGTAAAATCAAGACGACCTTCTCGAATGAGTTTTGGGGAGGAACATATGGGTCAGTTGGAAGAAGCTTTTGAAGTCTGTAATTATCCTGATGTTTATATGAGAGAAGGTGAGAGTGAGATAGAGAATTTGTTTTGAAAACAGGGTACTTGTTAATTACCAAAAACATCCGAAATGTATTTAGTATAGTCAAACCTCACTATAAGAACACAAAATACTAGGACACCTCTGTTTAGGATATGTTTTTTAAAATTTGGTGGCCACTGGTTGGGGAAGATCCCTAAGAAAGATTCCTTTTTTAAGATCACCTAAATAAAATACTTCTTTATAACATAAACCCAGAATTAGACCTCTATTTAATGAACACCTCATTATAAGATATAAATATCTCACCCCCAAGGGTGTACACATTAGTGAAGTTATACAATAGTGAAGTTATAAGGTACAAATTTTAATAAAATTTAAAAAATATTTTTCAAGAGATAGCCCAGCGTATAAACATTGGAGCGGATCGGATAAGGGTAAATTTACTATAATTTACTTTTAATAATTTTTAATTTTGTAAAGGTATGGTTCTCTAATAGACGAGCAAAACATAGGAAGGAATATTACAAAGTTAGAAAAAAATTTTTAGAAAAATAAAAAAAAATTAAAAAAAAATCAGGAACTACAAAAAATTGAAGCATCCAAAATTGCCTCAACTGAAAAGGAAAAAAAGAATTTGAAGAAAGAAGGAAGAAAATTGAAGAAAAATTAAGAAGGGGCTTCATTGAAGTGATTACCGTATATGCTCGAATAATTACCCTCTCTCAAATTGAATCAGTTTATTATTAAATATTACAAAATAAATGAATTCCCTCCTCGATTTATTTAGATATACCCCAAATTTAGCATCTCCTCTCGAATAATTACCCCCTCCAGCGAGAGTTCGAAACAATAATTACCCAGGGTAATTATTCGAGCATATACGGTATAACAATTGTAAAAGATTTCCATTTACTTTTTCCCCCAAAAAAGTTGTAATTTTTTACTTGTCCGCAAATAATTTGTTTTATCCGCATTTTTAACAAAAATATTTTTAATTTTATTTTTAATTTTTATAAACGAAATTTTTTTTGTTTAAAAATTTATTCTTTTTTCTCGATATATTCCTCACAATAATCAAGAATAATTATATTTTTGGGCACTCTTTTCAAAGCGAATAGGAAAGAATTGTTATCGAAGTCTGTCGGTGTCCATTTTATTTACGCTCCGTTTACTTGCCCTACTTTTTTGGCAATTTTCTTGTGCTTTATTTGAATAAATAATTTTTTCTATTCTCTTCTCGATGAATTTTTTGTTGGTAAAAATATTGAGTTGACCTCTGTTATAATTTCAGTGTTCGTTTTCTTAGCTCCAAAAGTCCGCAAGTTTAGTCCGCAAGTTTTGTCCGCAAGTTTTGTCCGCAAATATTGTCCGCAAATATTGTCCGCAATTAAACTATTTTTTTAATAAAAAAGCAGTGCTGTTCTTTCCTCAAAAATACATAAATGCCTCGACTACGCTCTAGAAGAAATAACAAAAAATTACCAACAAAAATTATTCCCTCTAAAAAATTGAAAACAAATAATAAAGCCTCGAAAAAAGGTTCGAAAAAAGGTTCACAAAAAGAATCAAAATTAAAATCAAGACAACGTAATACTCGAAAAAGTTTTTCTAAGGATCAGACGGGTCATTTAGAAAGGCAGTATTCAACATCGTTATCCAGATATTTACATGAAGCAAGGTGAACAGAGAATATTCTTCTAATAGTGTCTTCTAATTCTCTCTATTAGACAGACCCCTTCTAATAAACCAACTATCTAAAAAATGATTGAAAAATAAACCGACCAGTTGCACTATTAGAATGAATACGGTATCATAAATCTGTCATGATAGTATAGCTGAACTTCATTTCTAGTTACTCCCCCCCCTTCCCCAAATTAGATCTCAAATTTTTTTAAAATTTGGTTGACCACTAGAGGTCGGAAAAGTGCAAAAATCAAATTTGAATTTGAAAAGTTATTCGAGTTTACAAAAAAATATCGGGCGAATTTTGAAGTATGCGAAATGCCCAATTCGTCAGAGATCTATTGACCACTGGATAGGGGAGCTGTTTAAGCGATACCTTCTATATAAGCCTTAGATATGATTTTCAGTTTTGTGTTATTAAAATTAAAATAACATTTTTTAAGAAATGTCCCGTCATTTAAATATAACAGCGGATCGGATTTCGGTAAACTTAAAGTAATTTAATTATTGACAATTTTAAAAGGTATGGTTCCGTAACAGGCGAGTAAAGAGCAGAAAGGATTTTTCAAAGGTTCGAAAAATATTCTGAATTAAAAATAAAAAGAATTTTTAAATTAGGAACAATTAAAATACGAAAATCGGGTCCATGAAGCTAAAATGGCTTTAGTAGGTATTTGAAAGAAAAAAAGAGGAACAGAAGAAAGATTAAGAATGCGCTATTGAAGTGATTAAAATAATGCTTACTACCTACATATTTTCTATTGTCCCCCTAAAGTCCGCAACTCTTTTTTCGCAACTTTTTCCCTTAAAGTCCGCAACCTTTTGCGGACTTTACAGAGTCCGCAAACTATTTTCTTTTATTCTGAAAAGTCCGCAACTTCTTATCACGAAGTTTTTAAAGTCCGCAACTTTGTTTTGCAACTTTTTAAAGTCCGCAACTTTTTTCCTTAAAATCCGCAACTTTTTATCCGCAATTTTTTTTCTATCCGCTTTCTCAAAATCAATTGTCTTTATGTTCAATTTATTTTTAAAATTTTTTCAAAAATTTTTTTTCTTCTTTTTGTTTGAAAATGTGTTTTTTCTCGACCTCTACACCTTCTCTCGACTACAATTAAATTTATGTATTTTGTCACAGTAAACTAAAATATTTATTATTTTTAGGAGATCCTTTCAAAGCAATAAAATGAGAGGAAAAAGAATTGTTTTCGAGGTCTGGCCTTCAATTTATTTATATTTTATTTTACGACTACCAACTTGCTCTGCTTTTTCTTTTTTCTTTTGAAAAATTTTTATTTTGGCAAAAATTTTTCCTTCAAGTTATACACATTAAAGTAAATATTCTGTTCTTTTGTCGAGAATTTTTTTTAAATTTTTTTATTTAATTTTCTAGAAATTATTTAAAGTTTCCCAATTCTAACCTTTGTTATTACCCCCCTTGTTTTTATTTTTTATAGGTCCATATAGGTTGGGATTCCCTTTGGGATTTTTCTCCCCTTTCAAAATCACAGGTTTTTTTTTAATTTTTAGGATTGTCTGGATTAGTACAAGTGGATCCAGTAGAAATTTTTTAAATTTATTTTATCCGGATCCATATCAGAAGGAAGTTGAGATTAATATACCGTATTCATTCTAATATAACGACATATCGTTTTATTTTTCAAGCCTCTTCTAGGGTGTCGTTATATCAGAGACTGTCGTTATATTAGAATAACCCGCATCCCTTCAACCTTTTGAAAAAGACTGCTTTCTCCCCTTCAATATCATTCAGAATTTTCACCAAAACTTCGTACGACACTCTTAAACCTCAAAACAGCTGATCTATCATACCCCTAGGAAAAGGATATAACTCGATTTGACAGATTTAAATAATTAAAACACAGAAATGGCCCGAAGACGCTCTAAAAAGAACAACAAAAAATTAAATAAAAAAATTATTCAATCTAAAAAATTCAAAATAAATAGAAAAGCTACAGAAATGAGTTCACAAGAAGAAGAAACAAAATTAACACGACGTACTCGAATGAATTTTAGCGAGGAACAAATTTGCTATTTGGAGGATATTTTTGGAAATACTACTCATTTTCCGGATTCCTATCAGAAGGAAGGTTAGAGGATTTTAAAAATGGATACTGTATTTTTTTAATAATGCGACCGGACTCGAATGAATTTTAGCGAGGAACAGATTTGTTATTTGGAAGACCGGACGATTTATTTTTCAACCATCTTCTAGTTGGTCGGTTTATTAGAAGGGGTCGGTCTAATAGAGAGAGTCGCACTATTAGAAAAAATACGGATATATAAAGTAGAGATCGGAGTGAAACAAGAACTCGGTCAGAATCTTGGTTATAGATTTTATTGAGATATCGATCAAGATCCTCATACGACACTTATAATCCGATCATTATTATACCCTCTTTAGTGATGATTTAATTCGGTTGTGTTATAAGTGCCAAAATACCCAATCCCGGTCTGAATTAGTGTTCGGCACGGTTCAATACTCCAGCAGTACTCCCGAAAGTAGTGACTCGGTACTTTTTGGCCTTCCGGTATTGGTATTGAAAAAATCAATTTACCGAACACTACATATGTTTACAAAGCACTGCCCGAGTTTGATAATTTCTTTATACGCCCAATTTTATTCGAAATAATTAAGGGAGTCCTGCAGAACTCCCCGGCCCAAAAATTAAATGTATAACATTTTGGCTGAATGATAATCTTTTGGAAAAAAATTTATTTTGATTAAATAAGAAATATAATTTTATATATTGAGTATTCCCCCTTATAAAAATATTTTTGCGGAAATTTTTTTGTGGACTTTCTTCGTAGAAATTGTTTTAAATTTTTTTGGGGAAAGGGACAGCTTTGAGGGATGGGGTACAACCCTACTTAAAATTTCAGAATACATGGACGTTCCCTTTCATTAATCTAGTTCGATGATCGAGTAAAAATAGTTGCATAACCCGACTAGGTAAAAATAAAACTAGAAAATGATTCAGACGGCTGGATCAAAAGAAAATTATACTCCTGCTCCTACTAACTGAGATTTCTGATCTCTATTTTAAACAAGTTTAGCCATTTATCTAAAATTATAATAAAAATTTTTAAGAAATTGCCCGTCGTTTAAATATAACAATGGATCGGATTACGGTAATTTATACTGTAATTTAATATTTTTTAAAATTATTTTCAGGTTTGGTTCCAGAACAGACGATCAAAGTTTAGAAAGTACGTGAGGGGCAAAAATTCGAAATTAAAAGATTGGGGATTTAAATTGGATTTTAAATTTGACTCAGAAAAGAAGTAATGTATACTGTATACAGTAATCAGAAAATTCTCAAATTTAATAATTTTTTATTACCCAACGTCCGCAACCTTTTATCCGCAAATCTTTTTTATAATCTTCTCAAAAATAATTTTTTATTAATTTTATTTTTAAATTTTACAAAAATTTTTTACAAAAAATTGCACATTATGGATATATTAGAGTCCTAGAATGGAAGAATTATTTTTCAAAAAAAGGTTGCCCTCCAAATCAAGCCTTTTTATCTTCCAGCATCTATGAAGGATGACTTAAAGGATTTTCTCAGTTAATTTTCCCTCCTTAAATAAATCTAAAAAATCCAACCAGACTCCAATATCTTTTAAAATCACCGAGTTGTTTAAATACACGAATATATTAGTCGAACCTCATTATAAGACTCCCATTATAAGACACACTTAATACTGGAGACAATCTATTTAAGAGGCGGCTTTTAAAGTTTGGTTGGCCACAAGGATGGGGGGAGAGTCTAAGAGGGGCCACAAGGATGGAGGGTCAAAGAGGGGTTTCCCATTGTCTAAGCGATACCCCGAACTTTGAGATATACCTCGTTATATGGCACATCTCTTGCAGTCCCAGAGGGAGTTTCTAAAAACGAGGAGAGGAGCCAAGAATGGAGGGTCTAAGAAGGGTACTCCCCAGTCTAAGCGATATCCCGAATTTTAAGGTATACCTAGTCATAAGGGTACGTCTCTTACAGTCCCAGAGGGAGTTTCTAAAAATGAGGTTCGACTGCATAATCCATGAATATGTATATTTAAGTAAATCTTAACTTAGATCCTGTACTTTCTGCCCTTCTCCTTTCAATTTCCTCCTTATTTTTATTATTTTCTCCCTCTCCCCTTTCATTTAAATTTTCATCCAAATTAATTAAATTAGTGCCAGACAAAAAAGAGGTCGACATAAAATCAGAATAATCTTTTTCAAATTTTACTTCCTCATTTTCTTCTAATTTACAATTATTATTATTGTTGTTATTATTTGCATGCCAATTAATTCCAGCATTCATAGAGTTACTTTGTTTGGTTTTGCCGTTAATTCTGAAAATTAAAGGGAAATTGTGTATAAAAAATATAGTAAAATGAAATCAGAATTTGCAAAAATAAAATCAGAACAAAAATCAGAATTATCAATCTAAAATCAGAATTTCTAAATCAGAATTTCTAAAAATCAGAATTTTTGATTTAAAATCAGAATTGAAAATCAGAATTTCTAAATCAGAATAAAAATCAGAATAACCCAGAAAAAATCAGAATTTTCGATTTGAAATCAGAACAAAAATCAGAATTGTCATTTTAAAATCAGAATAAATACCAGAATTTCTAAATCAGAATAAAAAACAGACGGCCCGCAAAATATCAGAATTTCGATTTAAAATCAGAACAAAAATCAGAACAAAAATCAGAATTAAAAATCAGAATTTTCAATCAGAATTTCTCATTCAAAAATCAGAATTATTCCCACCTTGGCCCTCTCACTGTCCCATTTTTACACCTCATGGGTAAATCACTCATTTGCAAATCTTCGTCAGTCTGTCCTGCTGGGATAAATGTACGTTCAGTTTCAAATTGTCGACGACTCTCCCTACTTCCCCCGGACAGAAGTAGTTAACCACCCCACTTTGTTTCCCCGTTTACCGCACATTCCTAAAGGTGTGGGAGGGGTCCGCAAAATTTCTTAAAGGATTTGAAGGGGTTGGGGGCGGAGTCAATGGATTTTAGGGGACTTTCCAAAAGGATTTGGATGGGGCCCTTTGATCTTGCCGCTTTCCCGCAATCCCAAATTGTTTCCCTTTTGATCTTGCCGACAAATCCCAAATTGTTTCCCCTTTGATCTTGCCGCGTGTAAAAATCCCAAATTGTTTTCCCTTTGATCTTGCCGCTTGTTAAAATCCCAAATTGTTTCCCCTTTGATCTTTCCGCAATCCCAAATTGTTTCCCCTTTGATCTTTCCCGCAATCCCAAATTGTTTCCCCTTTGATCTTGCCGACAAATCCTCAAGGTGCGAAAATTCACACCTTTTTTTTCTTTTATCTCGCCGACAAAACCAATTTGCTCCAAAGTGTTGGGAGAGGGGTCCGCAAAACACAAGGGGATTTCCTTTGATCTTGCCGACAAAATCAGTTTGTTCAAAAGTGTCGGGGGAAGGGTCCGAGAAACAAAATTTGACAATCTTAAGGTGTTAATTTTCACACCTTTAAACACTTTGATCATCCAAGGTATGGGGGAGGGGTCCGACGAAACCAAATTACCGCACTAGGAGTGCGGTAAATCGTCAAGGTGTGAAATATCACACCTTTTTTTCCTTTGATCCTGACGACTAAATCAATTTGTTTAAGGGTGTCGGGGGAAGGGTCCGAGAAACAAAATTTGACAATCTTAAGGTGTTAATTTTCACACCTTTAAACACTTTGATCATCCAAGGTATGAAAGTTCACATCTCTAACTCTATTTTTGATGTACTTAATGTGTGAATATTGACACGTTTTTCAGTTGATTAAACTCTTAACTGGTTGAAAATACCTAATTTTATTTGTGAATATTTTGGACTTTTAATATTAAAAATTATCCCTAAACATTCTCGAACCGTGACAACTAATGAATATTACGAATCAAAACCGCTACCTGCTAAGCTACAGAGGAACATTTTTATTGCAATTTTTTGCTTTTTAAAGCTTTTAAAATATTTTTAACATGCATGCATATTAAATTTGTCAAATTTAAAAAGAGCGTCGCTTCTCTTTTTTAAAATGGCGTCGCTTCTCTTTTTTAAGATGGCGTCGCTACTCTTATAATTAATTCATCGAAAACAAATACAAAATATTTTGAGAAATGGTTTGAATAAATGAGAATATTTTCTAAATAATTTCAAAAATTAAAAAAAAATTTTTCAAGAAAATCTTATTCAAAAAAAAAATCAATTAAGGTTTTATAGCAAAATCAATCAATCAACCAATTAAGGTTTTTTAAAAATCAATTCATTAAATATTTTCGGTTTCGCTTCCTCAAACAACTTGAAATACTAAAAGCTAAATGTTTAATAGTAAAAAATTCGAAAATATCTTTTAAAAAAGTATAAACAACCAATTAAAAAAAAGTTTTTTATACCAATAAAGGGATATGGACAAATAAAAGTTAAATTTTTATTAGAAAAACCTAAAAAAATTGAATATAAAAATCAAAATCAATCATTTTTTTAAATTTATTACGGAAAAAAAAATTTTTTTTGCTTTAATTCCCAAAAAGGAATACTAAAAATAAGAGTAAAAATTTAAAATTTTTTAATTCTTAAAAATAAAATTTTTAATTTTTAAAATTGATAAAAATATAAAATTTTTTAAAAAATAATAAGTTAAAGATAAATAAAATAAAAATAAAATTAAAAAATAAAAGATATTTTTGGAGATTTCCCATTCTGTCTCATTTTATGCTACCTCAAGATTATTAGACGTGAACTAAAATGTTTTTCCTCATTTTTTATGTAAAAGTGAACAAATACGGTATAAACCACCATTTTGAATATATTAGATAATTAAAACTGGTAGAGTAATTTACTACATGAGGGATTGTTGCAATAGTAATATTTTCGTTCAATTCATTTATTTGTAAACTATCGTTGTATCTTTTTATACCATAGCGGCGAAACGGTGTTAATCTATAAAATTCAAAGTCTTCAGCATTCGCTCTGGATGATTTTAATAAATGTATTGGACACTCACACCTTCCTGGTATAGGTCCTGTAACGTTAAAAGGTAGATTCAATAAATATTTTGGACATCTACAGGGCTCTTGTTTCCACATATCTTGCCATCTGGGATCATTTACTAGAGATAAATTTGAAGAGGAAGCAAGGGAAAATAATAAGAATAATATTATGATAAACATTTTGGTTAAAGATTACACAAATCGAGGTCTTTTATACCATTCCTAACAAAACCCATGAGAAAGTTATATTACGACTTCGCTTGTCGAAACGGTCTAGCCCATGAACCGGGTTGATTGTTCTACTTAAAAGTTTTATGATTCACATTTGTTTATGATTCACATTATTAATCATCATCACGCCAATGAACTAAAATTTTTTAAAATTTTTAATAAAAAATCAAATTTGTTACAAATAAGATGGTCCCTAATAATTTATTTTCGAAATAGATGGGCAAGTTTTTTCTATTTTTATTTCACCATTTATATTTCTTAATTGTATTTTTAAGATTTAGACATATTTGCATAATAAATTAGATTTATTGCAAAAATCCTTTGATCTTTTTACTAATTTGTTGCATATTTAATTAGATTTGCATATTAAATTAGATTTTTTAAAAATCCTTTGATCTTTTTATTAGATGCATACATATTTAATTAGATTTGCCATTTTATTATTTTATTAATGTTTGCATATTAAATTAGATTTTAAAATAACCCTTTGATCTTTTTTAGATGCATGCATATTAAATTAGATTTGCCTAATTTTATTATTTTAAAAAGGTTGCATATTAAATTACATTTTTAAAAAATCTTTTGATCTTTTTATTAAAAGCATGCATATTTAATTAGATTTGCCGAATTTCATTTAATGATTTATAATGTTTGCATATTTAATTAGATTTTTAAAAAATCCTTTGATCTTTTTTTTGGCTGCATGCATATTTAATTAAAAATTTGAATTCTCTTTTGATCTTTTTACGATATGCGTGCATAATTAATTACTTAAAACTAAAACAACATAAAAAATTGGTGTAGGGGCTAGTCTATAAAAGGGTTCATTTTTAAAAATATTATATCATTTAAATAATTTATATAATTTAGTTTTATGAAAATAATTAGTTATTTAGTTGAAGTTTAATTTAGTTGAAGTTATTTTTCGAAATATTATCTTTTCGAAAAATTTTTCGATATATTTTTAAAATTTTTGTCCAACATTGTTTAAATTATTATTTCAATATTTTCCTAAAAATTTTCTCGAAAAATTCACGTATCTTAATCATTTATCGCGTGCTCAATATTATTAATAACTACTACACCATATCTCATTTTAATTTTTATCACTTTTTTCTCATTTATATAAAATAGATTTGGCATATTGCCTAATAAAGATTTTATTTAATTCAATTTTTTTATTCTTAAAGCTAATCATTTTGAAGTTTGCATATTTAATTAAGATGTTTGAATTTTTATCTTTTATGGATTGGTGCGTATTTATTAAAAAAATATTAATTTATTTTTGATTTTTATTACTTGTGGATATTTAATTGGATTTTTGAATTTTATTGTATTTTGATCTTTTATAATTTGCATGCATTATGCAAGCATATTTAATTAAATATTTTAATTTACTTTTATTATTTGACATAAATACTTATTTAATTAGTAATTTAAAGTTTTATTTACTATTTTTGAAATACATGCATATTTAATTAAAAATTTTAAATTTTTTTTTGTTCTTATTTTTTGACATGCATGATAATTGATTATTGAATTATTGAAACGCGCATAATTAATTAATCTTCCGATAATAATGTCAAATTAGAATTTGGTATAGGATTTTGCATATAAAAGCGGCCATTTTTTAAATTTATATCATTGTTACAATAATATTTTTTTTGTAATTCAGTTAAAGGTTACTGAAAACTTACTAAAAATTATTTTATTAAAATGCAACAACTTTCAAAAAATTCTCGAAACTTCTTTATTGCTAATCTTCTAGGATTACAACAGGGAAGTGGCTACAATGCTGAACGTTATGTTGAACGATTAAACGATTCAATATGGCACAATTCAAAATTTAATGTTACAAAAACGTATTCAAAGTTTATGATCAAGGATGTTCCTGCCGATGCCGAGTCTCTTCTCTCTGGTAATTAAAAACTTATTTTCAATAAATTACCAATTTCAGGAATTTTCCAATTTTGTGTTGATGAAGCTATGGAACATGCTAAGGGAAATAATGTTGAACCCCAACAATTAGCTTGTACGTTAACCAGTGACTTTTTAGAATATGATATCTGGGTTCCTTTCAGGTACTTTTTTATTTTTAGAAAAAAATAATTAATTTTTCAGCAATATATCAAATAACACTGTTGACGCCATGCTTAACCGGTGTCAACACATCGCTCAAAGTAAAAAGCAAGACGAATTAACTCTATGGGGCGCACCATTTTCTATAACTGTAACAACAATAAATAAAATTTCATTCAAAAAACGACGTCTTGTTGGTGGTGCAGCTCGTAAAATTCCAAAAGTGCGACATCAAATTAATAAAGGGTCACTGATAAAATTTAATAATCCTGACAATATGAATCATTGTCTATTTTTCGCCTTAATTGCTTCAATTATACAAAATATATGCAACTGGCCACGTTTAAAATTTTTTTACTACATTAACAATCTAAAAGGAATGTCTGGCCGTTTTGAAAATGATACATATGAAATAATGAATCAGGTTGGGGCTCAAATTGGATTGAATGAATACGACGCTGATGAATGGATTCCACGTGTAGTTGATCAATGGAATAACGTTAACTGTAAAAATCAATGTATTGTTAAAGTTTTTATATTCGGTGAACGTGGCAATTATAAACCCGAATTTGAATATGGACCTGAAGAT